CCAGTGTTCCCTTCGTGGTTGCAGCTGCTCCTTTCTGCCCCGTTGGACTCAGCTGTTTCTCCTTCCCACCTGTTTGCTCCACCTTGAGCAAACTTTGTTTTGTTCCTCCTGCCCTTTATCATCTTCCTGGTCGCCGTCCCTGTCCTGGCTGTTGTCCTCACTCTTTGCTGTCTCCATTCCTGCTGGCCCCCAGGTTATGGGTTAAGGTGCTGCCTGCATTTCCCAAAATGACTGAGTCTGGAGCAAACTCAGGGATCTAAGGCCTAACAAACACCTGATAAAAGCATTCCTGCCACATAGCACAGATATTTTTAGCAAACGGAGCACAGGAGTGGAAGGGGGAGTCAATAAGCTGCATGATGAAGGCAGCTGCTTGTGTTCATCCGGCATCAGTGTGGAGATGGGGCTGGAGCCTGTTCCTTTTGAAATGAGCTCGCACCCACACGAGTGCATCAGCGAGATTAAGCTGTGGTTGGCATTTTTAAAATGCAGGAATAGCAGAGCATTCATTATCCCATCGGTCCTTTTCAGTGCAACCACAAATGTCTGTATTTATCCATTTGCTGGCAGTCTGCTGGGGAACGGCAGCTGGAGCCCGGGGCTGGCTGCTGGTGACCAGGCTCGTGTGTGACAGTTGTGTCCTTTATTTCTATTTCTGTCGCGCTGTTTTGATGGAATGCGCAGCGATGGGAGCGCTGTCCCACGCTGGGCTTTGCTCTGGAGCTCCGGGGCGCTGTGACACCCGGGCTCCCGCTGTGCCCTGGCGAGCAGATGGCACAGCCCGACATGGGAGGGGTTGGTTTTGTCTGCCTTGAATTCCAGGGCATTCGGTGCCGTTCTGCTCGGTCCGGGCTGTGCCCAGAGGTGTCCAGGCTGAGGCTCTGCCAAGGTCAGGAGAAGCAAAAGGAGCCCCGAGCTCCGGGGCAGCCTCGGAGCCCCAGCCCTGCGCTCCCGAGGCTGGAGGGCTCAGAGCCCTGGGAAACCCATCCTGGGAACCCTTGGAAACCCATCCTGGGAACCCTCGGAAACCCATCCTGGGAACCCTCGGAAACCCATCCTGAGGAGCCCTCGGAAACCCATCCTGGAGAGCCTTCGGAAACCCATCCTGGAGAGCCCTCTAGCGAGAGCAGCGTCCGCCCGAGTCCGCCGGGCTCTCAGGGTTGCGGCTGCGCCCGGGAGAGGTTCCGTGGGGTTGTCACACCTAGGGAATGCTCCGGGATGCTCCAGATGCTGCCGCACGCAGGGGATGCTGATCCCCGATCAATAGAATAGGTTGGAATAAAACGCAGCAATAGAAAAATGCTCCTGAAACACCTTGGACCTCCTTTCCTGCAGGAGATAAATGCTATGTGGATAAAGTGCTTATTACAAGCTGTGGGGGAGATTTACAGCAGTAAATATGAATTAATGTTTTTCTCGCGTGCTGATCTCTGGGTTGTCGCCACCATCCCCTGCTGTCCTTGTGCCCCGTCCTGGCACTGCCTGCAGGGAGCTGGACCCTGGTCCTGGCAGGGGAAGGAAAGGCCCCACTGTGGAGGAGCAGAGAGGCAGGAGTGGATAAGAGAAATGAAATCCTATAAAAGATCTGTTTCTGAGCGCTGGCTGCTGTGCCGTGCCCAGAAAAGCCTCACAGCCAGAAATAGATGTTCTGCTAATGAAAGGGCTGGGAAGGGAAATTCCAGGTGCACTCCTTCCTTTGGCCTGGGGCACTGCAGCTTCAAATGCCACAGGTGTGGCTGTGTGGTTCCTGTTCTGCCGCGTTATTCCCTGCGCCCTTCCTGGGCACCGAGGTGCGGGGACACAGAGGAATTGTGCACGCTGTGATTTTGGGGTCAGGCAGAGGCACTGCTGCCAGGAGGAAGTTCAGTGTGAAGGGAAGGCCCATCTGGATGAGAGCTGTTATCCCTGGATGCAGCTGGCTTCTTGCAAGGATAAACATGAAAAGCTAAGCAAGGTTTTGCTTCTTTGTGCAGCTTCTGTGATGACAGGGCTCTTCTAGTTCCAAAATGTTTGTGGCTCCACCTGTGGTTTGTGCAGCAGGGGCCGCTGCTCTCCCCCTCCTGGAAAGTCCAGGCGGTGAGTGAACCGTGGGTGGGGGGGTTCTGGATAATTCAGCACAGCGGCTGCCAGAGACATCCACGGGCTGTACATCCCCTGTCCCTGAGCCGCTGTGTGTGCAGGGCTTGGCACAGCGAGTCCTGTGACAGCAGTGAGGGAGGTGACAGCGCTGCCAAGGACAGCCCGTGAGCTGCTGCCTGCGTGGGCTGCACCTCCCTGTGCGGATGCAAACTGCTGGCAGGTGCTTTTAAACAGGTCAGCGCCCTGGCTGCTCTGCAGAGATGTGTTTGCTGACTGTGCCAAGCAGCGTTTGGCAGGCAGAGCCCTCGGTGTGACTGATGAAGTCAGGTTATCTCCTCGGTGGTGATTTGCAGCCAGTGCCGCTGCCAGGCTGGGTCAGGTGCCAAGCAGGAAAATGCCACTCGAGGCATTTTCTTAATTGCTTATCGGGAACAGCAAGTGGAAGCAGGCTCTGCCCCTGCACTGCTCTGGTATCTTCCTGCCCCAGGGCCCTGCAAGTCAGGAGCTCCGCAGCCAGCGTGGTTCAGTCCTGCTGCTCCTGCTCCTGCCGGCTCCTTCCGCGGTGCTGGGCGGGAGCGGGGGGGTCCCCGCTGGTCGCAGTGTGCGTGCACAGCCTGTGCGAGTGTAGGAACTGATGATTTCCAGTTCCCTCATCCAACAAGTGGGGGCTGCAGGAGTCCGCAGTCACACGCAGCTGCTTTCCCTCTGCTGCAGTGGCTCGTTCCTGCTGCTGTGCCACTGCTGCTGTGCCGCTGCTGCTGCACTCGGGTTCCCCTGTCCCCTGTGCGGTTCCCCTGTCCCCTGTGCGGTTCCCCTGTCCCCTGTGCGGTTCCCCTGTGCGGTTCCCCTGTCCCCTGCGCGGTTCCCCTGTCCCCTGTGCGGTTTCTCTGTCCCTGGCAGGGCTCCTCAGCTGTTCACAGCGCGGCGATGCCGTCACTGCTGCTGGTGCTTGGGTTCAGTGGGAGGTGGGAAGGGGAAGCGGGAGCAGGAGCAGGAGGAGGAGGAGGATGAGGTCAGGCTGCTGCAGCGCGGCTCCTGCTGAGGATCTTATGTAAAATTCATCTGCAGAAATCAGCTCTGCCGCCGTGGAGCGGGGAAGTGGGCTGTGCTCTGCTCACAGCAGCCATGGGCAACAGGATGTTGAGCTTCTGCTTTTGCTTCAGACTCATGTTTTTGGCTAAGCTTCAATAAGAGTCCCGCAGTCCCCTCTTGCTCGGTGTCCTCTCCATGTTAGCAGGGCAGTGTGCTGCCTTGTCCCCAGGCCCTGGGGACGTGGGGGCCAGCCCAGTGCAGGGGCCGAGGTGTTCCCTGGGGCCCTGTGCTTCTCCTGACACCGAGCTGTGGTGGGAACTGGCAGCACCTCAGCTGTGGTTCACCCAGAGGAATCTTTGGGGAAATTCACAAGTATTGCAGAAGGGGGTAAGAGATTTTCTTTTCAAGAGGATAGGCAGTAAAAGCACACAGGAATGACAGAAATATCCAATAAGGACACCAAGAGAGGGAAGCTTGGGAGAAAGGATCCCTTCAGGGAGGTTATTTGAGATGCTCAGCGGTGAGGAATGAGCCCTTTGAAGCTTCCGACAGAGGCTGGTGTCAGAGGCAGCCAGACCAGATGGACGGGTCTGCTCTGGCCCAGGGGCCTCTCTGTCCATGCAGAGGCATTCCCAACTCCCAGAGCTGGCTGCTGACTCACGGGGAGGCACCGGCCGTGGGCTCAGCCTGCCATGGCAGCTCTTGGCGTGCTCAGCAAGGGCCAGCAGCTTTCTCTGCAACGGGCCAGGCTTGTCTCACAGCAGGACAAAGCTGTCTGCCATGTCCCAGGTCATCCCTGGGACTGTTCCTGGCACTGGGATAAACCAGTCAGGGTTCCAGGGAGCTGCCAACTGTCCGGAGCCAGCAATGCCACTGCCCGTGACAGATCTGCTGCCAGAGCCCTGGACATTCCTCACGGTGTCAGTAATGTTAGTGTCAGTAACGTTATCCTCCTCTCTCTAGCAAGCGTGTGGGAGGTGATGAATTTGGGAGTGGGAGCCCTCGTTAGGGGAAAAGTTCCTGAGGGAAAGTTCCTGAGGGAGGCCAGCAAGGTTGATTTCTATAGGAACTGCTGGCTGTTATTTTTAAACAACAATAGTTTATTAAATAAATAAACTTGCTGCCACGGAAGGATATAGCATCAGCCAGGGCTGTTGAGGCCACTGTTTCCTTGGAAAAGGGAAAGGACAGGTGTTTCCCTCCCCTCTGCCCCTGCCCCCCGTGTTTTGCTCCTCAGCTCTGGGAAATCCCTTCCCTGGACAAGGCTTCTCAAGGGCTGGAGGAGCCTTCCCGGTGGGGCCGAGTGTTCCGGGTGGCAGTGAGGATTCCCGGGAGCTGCCTGTGCCCCGGGGCAGTTCCCCGCCCGCGTGGGGTCTTCTCTGGCGCGTCCAGAGTGGAAAGAATCTGTGTCCTGCCAGCTCTGTGACAGCACAGGTGCAGCCAAATCAACGCGGGACAAAGCGGGGGGGATCTGGTTTCACTGTCCCCTCTCTCGTGGGGGCTCCCTGTGGCGGGGGGGGATGGCAGGGCGTCGCGAGGGGTGACAGCGATGTGCCCCGGCCCCGCCTTCGGGCAGAAATTGGAGAATTTGGGAGTTCGCACGCGAAAGAAGAGCGGCGGCTGTCACCCCCGGCCGGGAGGGGCGGCGATCCGGGGAGCCCCGCGTCCATCCCCGCGGCCGGGGGGTCCGGGAGGCAGCGGGGGGGGCTCCGGGCCGGCCCCTCCCGGTGCGGGGGCGGGCGGTGCCGGGGGCGGGCGCTCCCCGCCGGCAGCAGCGCGGAGCGGGGGCGGCCCGAGCGCAGCGCAGCGAGCGGAGCGGGAGCGGGAGCGATGCGGGCGGCGGGGCCGCGGTGAGCCCGGGGCGAGCGGAGCGGGGCCGGGCCGGGCCGATGGCGTTCAGCGCCTGGCAGATCCTCTCGCCGGTGCAATGGGCCCGCTGGACCTGGTCGGCGGTGCGGGGCGGAGGCAGCCCCGAGGAGGGGGACGGCGGGGCCGCTGCTGCCGAGGAGGATGATGAGGAGGACGACCAGGACCCTCCGGCGGGGGGCTCGGCCCTCGGCTTCAGGCAAGTCACCTTCCCCTGCCCGCCCTGCCACGGCGCCCGCACCGCGCGGGGCGTGCGGGGCTGCGGCCGCGTCCTCCCCGGCCCCGTCTCCATCCGCCCCTCGCTGCCCCTCGCTCCCCGCTCGCTGCTTGGCTGCCGGGGATCCCGCACCGCGCCGGGGGGGCCGGGGCCGGGCGCTGCTTCTGCAGGATGCTGGGGAGCGCAGGGCTGGAGCAGCCGGGCTCGCTTCCCGCAGCAGCCTCCGGAGCCGCGTGGGAGATGCTGCATGTCCTTGGAGGCCCGTGCTGCGTGCTCGGCTCGGGAGCGAGCTGGCAGAGCCCTCCCGCAGGGCTGGGGATGCTCACGATGATGTTTCACCTGCTCTCCCTTTTCCGTTTGCTAGCATGTCCCGCTGGACAGGAGCGAGTGGCCGCCCCGGATGCCCACGGCCAGCCCCTGGCCTGGCTGGACGTGTAGGTGTTGTGGAGGATTTCAGAGGTGGCCTTGAAAGCAGTAATTCCTCACTCTTTTCCCCCCCTCGGCAGCTCGGACTCCACTGATAATTTTGAGACCCCTGAAGCAGAAACACCAACCTGCTCGCCACTCAAGGAGTTCTGCGAGCCACCAGGATCAGCAGAGTCTGAGGCCGGGACCCAAGGTAAAGAGCCAGCGTGCACCTTCTGCTCTTGGTGCTCTGCTCCTTTGGCAGAAAGGCAGGGTGGGGTCAAGGAGTAAAACTCTCTGACTTTGAGTAATGCCTGGCACAATTTGGTGGTTAATGGCCTGGACAGTTCAAATGCCAGGGCTGGGCTGGGCACTCCACAAAGGGCTGTGATGTTTGATTGAGAGGAACCCGAGGATGCCGTTGGGTTATCGGGGCAGGGCAGGGCGGAGAGGAGAGCTCCCCTTCCATCGGGGCAGGGCGGGGTGGCTGGGCAGTGCCGGGGTGTTGGTGAGCCTCCGGGGTGGTCTGCAGGAGAGCAGCCTCCCCAAGGCACAGGGCAGTGTGTGGTGGGTCCTGAGCATTCCCTGCCCTCTCCTGCCCCTCCCTGCTGCAGGCCCTGGTCTGTGATGTGCAATGTTGTGTTTTCCTTGAGTGCTCACAGCAGCAGCTGGCAACTTTTTGCAGGGCTGGTTTCAGAGCACATGGGCTCCATCCAGATCGTGGGTCCTTCTGTGCAGGAGCCCAGGCAGTGCAGACCGGGGCAGTAACAGGATGATGTGGCTCTCCATCTCCTGTGGTGTTGTTCTGCTGTTGGGTGGGTCTGGGTGCTCATCCATCCCTGTGGAAAACTCGTGTTTGTTTGCTGTGATGGAGGGAGTGCTCGGTTCATGCTTCCAGCAATCACAGCTCTTGGAATAATCCTTTTAAGAAGGGGTGATAGAGACATCTTTACTTTGGGGATAATGCCTGGGGAGGGGGGCAGGAAAAAGGGCTAGGAAAAGGCTTTCCCAGCAGGTAGGAGGATCATTTCTGGTACAGCTTAGGGAAGGGCATCACTCCAGACTCCAGGGTGTCACAGTTCCCGTGTGTGCCTGTGCCCCTTGTCCTGGGATGAGCAGCTCCTGCTCAGCAGTGAGGGAGTAGCTGCTCCTGCACACAAAGCTCCCAGTGTTCTGGGGACGAGGGCATGATCTCCAGCAAAAGCTGTTTTTCTGTGCTGGCAGGCAGAGAGTGGGATGTTGGAGCTGGCAGAGGCAAACTGCAGTGCCACCACACTTGGCTCCCGCCCTCCCCTGCCCGTGTCTGTGGCTGTGTCTTTTCAGTTTGTCTGGAATGGTGGAGAGGAGGGATGTGGATGGGTTTGCAGGGCGCAGGATGGGTGCAGAGACACCCTGGGCTCTCACACCTCTGTACCAGTGTAATCCCTGTGTCAAGGCCTCATCTTTGCATCCTTGGGTCTGGCTCAGCTCGGGAGCAGCCGTGGGATGGAGGCAATCCCGTGCAGTGCCGTGGCTGCTGTCAGCTCCAGGAGAGCTGCAGTCCCTGGGGAATTGCTGCTGGCTGTGCTGGGCTGTGTGGGGCAGTGCCAGAGCTGGGCCTGGGGGCAGGGACAGCACTCCTGGCCGTGGGGGACAGCAGGCACTGTCTGCAGGCACTGTCTGCTGTGGAGCTGCAGTCTCATCCTGCCTTGGGAATAAATAGGGTGAGGAATGACAGAAGCTGCGACTCCAGGGCTCCAGGCACAGCCAAGAGGTGACCTGGGTGTGTTAAACCCTGTCCTTAGAGACAAAAATTCAGCCCTGGAAGGAGCTGCAGTGAGGATTTATGCCCACTCAGGATCACTCAGTTTCCTCGGATGGTGGGACTAATTCTGTCCCATTCTTGCTCAAGTTATCTCCAGCGATCTGCCAGTAGATGTTTTGCACAAGGAAATGAGCAGAAGCAGCAGATCTAGAGCCATCAGAGCTGGGAGCAGGCTGATGCCTGCACGTGTTTTCCGGTGCGTTAGCAGCATCCTTCGCCGGTATGCTAATTCTTAACAGAATGGATTTAAAAATAGATCAACGGCTGTTAAACACGAGCGGAAAGCCAAAAGAGGAAAAGAGAGATGTGGGACTGAGCTGGGTGTAGGGGCAGATATCCTGTATGAGACAGAGAAGGGTGTGAGTCACTGCCCTGAGCTGGGGGTTGTTCTGGCACAGGGGCCCGGCAGGGATCGGGATTGCTGCTGCTTCTCCTGGGGGATGGAAGGGGCTCTGAGCCTTTGCCTTGCAGTGCTGCCAAGTGCTCCTGGTTCGTTTGAGGGCTGGCATGTTGGGAAGCTGTTTAAGTCGGTGTTTGTGTTTCGTTTCAGCCCGAGGAAGACAAGCAAAGCAATTACAATGCAGAGGCACAAAGTGTCTATTACTGTGGTGCCAGACTGTCCTGTCTGTTTTTCTTTAGAAAGTAAAAAATCTCTGTTTTCGCTTTGTAGCATCCCCTCCAGGTACTCACCTGGATGTGGAGCAGGTTTGCAGCCTGAGCAGGTGTTCCTGAGCTCCAGCCCTGTGCTGGGTGTGTGCTTGGGACTGACAGTGTCTGTCCTCATGCTGGGACTAAACTGTCCCCCTGCAGGGCACAGTGCCAGAGCTGGAATGGGAGAGCTCGGGGTCACCTTTCCAGGATGCTGCAGTACCTTGAGGCACCTGTGGGATGCCTGTGGGAAGGGCGGGTCTGGGGGGCAGAGCTGCGCGTGGCCCGTGGCTACCAGCCTGCCTTCTCCTGGGGTGTTGAGCACAGATTTGGCCCAGAAGGAGGATTTGAGCAGTGAGGGGGCTGGGGGACAGCTGCAGGCTGGTTTCCCTGGCAGGAGCCGTGAGGAGGGGAGGACGTGCAGAGCCAGCACTGCTGCTCACAACGTGACTGCCTGGGGCTGGGGATGGTGCAGCACGAACAGGAGGAGCTGGGAGAGCTGCAGGCAGCGTGCAGGGCTGGGGAGGGCTCTGGGGGGAGAGCCGGGGCTGGGTGGCTGCAGGGGTTGGGGCAGAGAGCTCGGCTCTTTCTGTGCACCCCAAGCCCTTCAGGTCGCTGTTTTCTGCATCCTGTGCAATTGTTCCTGCAGGAACACACACTCCTGTCACGCTGCATTGGAGGCAGAAGAAATGTAGAGGGCGAGGAACTAAGGGGAAACCCCCCTGAGCTCAGGAGGGACATTTCTGCTGCAAAAGATTTCCAAAGCCATGGGCGAGCACTTGAGCTCCTGCCTCCCAGCAAATCCCAGTACATCCCAGTTCCTTGCTCTCAGACTGGCTGGGGATGGGCTGTGCTGCAGGAGGGGCTCAGTAGCTGAGCACTCTTGGGTGCAGAGAATGAGGGAATCACAAAACTGAAGAACCTGGGTGGGTTGTTCTTCTGATTTTTGTGGGAAATTGACTCTGAGCTGTGGCCACATGTGCCAGCTCTCCTTTCCTCCCCACCCTGTAGCCACCACAGCATGGAGAAGTGGTTTGTGTGCAGACTGCTTGTTATTCAAGAAGTAATTACTCATTGCTTGGGTTAGAAAGCAGGATGGGCTCATGTCTGTGAGAACAGCAGCTGCCAAACCTTCCGCTGGGAACACAAAATGCACTTAAATACTTCTTTTGCCCTGACTTTGAAGTCTGTTCTTCTATTCAGGGCTGTCTCAGGAAGGCTTCAAACAGCTGAGCAACACAGCAAGTGTAATAAAGTTTTCTTTGGGGTCTGTTAAGGAGGTTTTCCTGGTTCCTAATGATGGGGAGGCCTGCCAGGCGCTGCCTCAGACTGTTTCCTGGCTGCACTCCAAGTACTCATCCACTGGGTTTGTGTTTACTGATGCATTTTCTGGGGCATCAAGGCAACGTCTACTTGGAGGGAACTTTTTTTTTTTTGCAGTCAGAGGAAGCATTTTTGCAGTCTCAGGGAGGACACAGACCCTCATGATTCATTTTCATGGCTTGTAGCATCCTGGGGATCAATTATGCTAACCACGAGCCATCAACTGAGTCAGGATTGTTGGCTCCACGTCCTGGATTAGTCCTGGGCCCAGATATTTGCCTGGTTCCCTCTTCCTCTGCCAGCCTGTGACTCGCTCTGTTACCAGCACACATGAGCTGGTTGCAAATGCCTGGTGATAGGAAAAACCTGTCCTGGCCTCTCGGGGATGGGGTCTGTGGGAGCAGGGGGGATGCTCGAGGTGACTCCCCTGTGCAGCTCTGTTCCAGGGCAGGGCTGGGGCAGGGACAGGCAGATTTCCCTGGCACAAGCTCTGCATCACCCAGGCTGCCTTTCCCAGCCGGGTTTTCACACCAGTTTGGTCCCTGGGGGAGAGCATTGGTTGTGTTGTGCCCTGGGAGGACCTGGCTGGGCTGTGTCCCCCCAGAAAGGTGCCTGTGAGGGCTGCAGGTGCCACAGGCTCCCCGATGGGTGCTGGGCATCCCAGAATGCTGTTTGCAGTTGTCCCTGGCTGCAGTGCAGGAGGACACCAGATGTTTTCCTCTTGTGCCTTGGCACACCTGCACCACAAGCCTGGCTGTGGGTGCTCAGTGGGTGCAGCTTTAGTAGATAAAGGATCTTCTGCATCCCTTGATTTCAAAGGAAAGATTAAAGAGTGAAAGGATTGAGGGGAAAGGATTGCAGTAATGGTGATTAAGTCATGGATCAGGATTTGTCATTAGAGGATGCTGGCAGCAGTGTCAGAGCCTGGTGTGACTGCAGCAGGATTTCTGCAGCTGGAGAATCTGCCTGTGTTGGGCAGCTTCTCCTGCCTGGTGCACGTCCAGCTCTGCAGCCCCAGCACTGGGCGACCCCCAGCTCCCTCCTGCACTGAGCACACCTTCCCATTCCCCATCTCCCTGGGGCCTGCTTGCCCACATTTTGTGGTGTTGTCTCGTGCCGTGCATCCCTGAGCTCTTGTCACGAACTGGAGCTCTGCCCAAGTGAGCAGTGACTCCCTGGCCTGTGGCAGGAGGGAAGCTGAGCTGTGAGTCAGTGGATCCCCCATAAAATCCGACCCTGGAGCAGCTGCGAGGAGGGAACAGAAATCCTCTGGCGGGGAGTGCAGGTCAGGGTTTAACCATCTGCTTTTATCTTTTCAGAGCCAGGTGGCCATGGTGACTTGCTGGTAGGGGAAGCCCACTGGGACAGCTCTCCTGGGAAGCACCCCAAAGATGAGGCTCAGCCAGAGATTGGAGCCCCTAAAGGCGGTTCGGATGCTAAAGGGGAAACTGGCCCCGACCACTCGCCCCTGATGCAGCCCCTGGCTGGGCTGGGCTGCAAGGCTGACCCTGGGCAAGCCCCTGTGCCCACCGTGGAGCCAGCCCCCGTGCCCCACGCGGGCACAGCCACCGGGGCCATGGCAGGAGGGGACACAGAGGACACTGGCACGGGGCTGGTGGAGCTGAGGGCTGATGCCCTGGCCCAGGAGCAGCTCGGGAAAGGGAAAACACCTTCACTGGGGAGGAAAACAGATGAAAACACAGAGGAGACCCAAGCATCCTGCCAGCCTGACCCTGAGCAGCATGACAGGAGTGTGAAGCCCTTTGTGGCAGGGACCTGCCAGCTGCAGAGCCTTCCCCAACGCCTTCCCCATCCCGCTGAGCCGGGGGGGGACCCGGCTCTGGAGGCCCCAGGACAGGTCCCAAAGCCTGGGGCTGATTTGACAGAGGCTAGAGAGAGCATGGAGGCCAAGCCAGCTTCACCCAGGAGGGGCAGCAGGATCCCAGCCAGCAAGCTGACACCGAAGAGACACAGGGAGTCCCCCAGGAAAGCAGCTGAGGATGTGGAGAGGGGCCCCACAGAGCCTCGGGGCTCCTCCCAGCTGGGCCCCCCGTGCTGGGACAGCCCCGGCCTCAACCCTCACAGTGGCAGCTCAGCACTGCAGAATTCACCAGTTCTCCCCAAGGGCTCTTACCAGTTTGACCCCGATAACTTTGACTCCCTGGATCCATTCAAGCCCACCAAGAGCCTCGCCAGCACCGACGCCGACTCCTGCTCCACCGCAGACAACAGCCTCAATGAAATCCTCGAGTCCCAGACCCTGGAGATGCAGGAGGATGCCCTGAAAGGCAGAGACTCCCCCAGGAAGCCCAAGTCACGCCTGATAACGTGAGTGCCAGTGTGTGCAGGGCTGGGGCTGCAGCCCCCTCCGTTCTCCCTGTGGGCAGAGCTGCACTGGTGATGGTGATGATGATGATGGTGATGGTGATGGTGGTGGTGGGAGTGCTCCTGCCCTGGTGCCTCCTCAGCGAGCTCCATGCACCTCAGGCCCTGCTGGTGCCTCAGTTCTGTGTGCCTGTTGTCCCAGCTCCCCTGTGCCTGTCAGTGCCACTGGTGGCTGTTCTGGGGCAGTGCCAGTGTCCTGAGTGCCAAGCAGAGCAGGGATCTCGCACCCTCTCGCAGGATCATTTCTCTTTGGAAACCCCTCGGGGTTCCAGCTGGTGGCTCAAGCTGTAGATGTGGAGTCAGAGGAAAGCTGGAGTGGAGGCTGGAGCTGATGTGTTTGCTGGACTTGTGCAGGGATGTGCAGGAGCTGGTGGATGCAGGTGTGGTTGGTCAAATGTAGCTCAGACATTTTGTGAGCTGCCACTGAATTTATGTTTTATGTCAGAGAAAGAGAACAGGTTGGGCAGGTAGACTCTGCTGTCTGATTCTCCAGTGAGAAAATTATATAGTGGGTTTTTACAGAGAAAGAGAAAACCTCATGGGCAAAAATCAAGCTGTGTTGGATGTTTTTGTCCAGGAAATTCTTTAGAGAGTAGATACACATTTGTGTGGCTGTGGGTGAGCACAGTCAATGGGGAGGGGAGGCAGCAGGAATTCTCTGCAGGATGCTGCCCTGGCAGTGAGGGCTGTGTTTGGATCTCACCCCACTGCTGTGGGTAGCAGATGCAGGATCAGAGCATCCTGTGTGTGTTTGTGCCTTCCCAAAGGCTGAGCCAGGCAGCTCACCGTGCTTCTCCAGAGCTGAGACAACACCCAGGTCTTTTCACACACTCTTCTTCTCTCCATCTGTCTGTCTCTCTCCCTGTCCGTGCTTTGGTGCATCAGGACTACTGAGCAAGTGAAATTTCTCTGTTTTCTGTTGTAAGTACTCTCTCCTGTACTCCTCTTCTTTTCCTTTGCTGTTTTTGTCCTCTCTCTGGGTGTGTGCTGCCCCACTCGTCTCCATGGCATGCTGGCTCCTTCTGCCCTTTNTCCTCTTCTTTTCCTTTGCTGTTTTTGTCCTCTCTCTGGGTGTGTGCTGCCCCACTCGTCTCCATGGCATGCTGGCTCCTTCTGCCCTTTTGACTTGTGCTCTCTGCTGTCTGGTTTGTGTCCCTTGGCGGGGTCCCCAGGGTGGCCTGGCCTGGTGAGTGCCTGGGAGTGAGGGAGAGGAGGAGAGCTGGGCTGGGCTGGGCTGGGCTGGGCTGGGCTGATCTGAGCTAAGCTGAGCTGGGCTGGGCTGGGCTGGGCTGAGCTGCACTGGAGGCACATGGCTGTGCTTGTCCTCGCAGCATGCCGCCTGCAGCATCTTCTGATGGTGGACAAGTGCTCGAAACCTTCAGCTAACGGGGGGCAGCAGGTTTTGGTGCAGTCCAGAGCTGTTATCTTGGTGCTGGGGGGAGCTCAAACCAGCTGCCAGGTGATGGGATTACCCTGGCACAGAAGAGGGTGCAGAAGAGAGGAGGGTGAGGACAGGACACGTTTGACTGGCTCGTGGCAGGGCAGGAGGGAGGAGAACAGTGCAGAGTGACTCTGGGGTGTGAGCGAGGTGTGCATGGCAGAGACAGCCCCGTGTGCCCGTCCCTGTGCGCTGCTGGGATGGGATGGGATGGGATGGGATGGGATCCATAACCCTGGGAACAGCTCGCTGCAGTCCTGCTCGAGCCTTGCCTGTGTCTCTGTGCTGGCGAGTGCCGTGTCTGGAGGCTGGGATCCCTCCCCAGTCCCTCAGTGGCTGTTCCAGCTCAGCAAGCGTCTCCTGTGGGGTCAGGCATGGCCACGAGCCTGGGAGATCCCTGAGTGTGGAATGAGGGGGGTGAGATGCAGGAGAAAAGCTGATGCTGTCCCATTGCCACTGGGACCGTGCCCGTGCTGCTGTGCCCTGTGCTGTGCCCGGTGTGTGGGGTGCAGCCCGGCACTGATGGGCTCTGATGGTGTCTTCAGGATCACGGGATGAAGTTCCAGGGGCAGCCTCCCCACTGGAGGGCAAGGGCACCACCTGCAAGAGCTGCTTGGGCTGAACCTTCCAGCCGAGGGGCGCTTCTCCTCGGGCCAGCGTTTGTGCCAGGCACAGTTTTAGTCTCAGCACCTTGGCCTGCCCGTGCGGGTCTGACTCACACGGGAGATGTGGATGCTGTGGAGAAGTCCCAGACAAATTTCCAGCTGCAGGGACAGGGCATGGGACAGCCTGGACGTGGTTCTTCCTGCAGAAAGTCGACGTGCACTGGAGCTTGGGTGCCTTGTGCTGGACACGCAGGGCGAGGGCGCAGGGAGGGAGATCCTCCTTTGGCAGCTCCTGCCTCTCTCTCCATCAGCCCTTGGGGCCCTTGCTCTGCTCCTTACCTTCCTCAGGAATAAACACCTCACAGACAAACCCAACTTCTGTGTAGTCGTGTCTTTTGTTTGCCTTTTCCTTCTGTTCCTTCCAGAACTTGCTGTGCCTCGGTGTTCACTGGTGAGTGGGGTGCTGGCACGCTGTGGGTGCAACGCTGGTGCTGGGACTGCTCCCCCTGCTTGGGCTGTCTGGGACGTGCCCCTGCACCCCCTGCACTGCCCCTGGCCCCCTCTCAGCTGCTGCTTCTCTCTCCTGCAGGAGCGGCTGCAAGGTGAAGCAGCACGAGGCGCAGCCCCTGGTCCTGGACATCAGCGCTCAGGTACGGGGGGTCTCATGCTGGGGTGGTGGTGGGGAGAGCTGAGCTTCAGGCTGGCATCCTCCCTGTGGGCAGTTCCTGATGGGAGGGGAGGGAGGAGGGCTGGTGGGGAGCAGCACAGTGGGTTTGGAGTATCCAGCCCCACAGACCTTGCTTAACTGCATCCTTTGATGCTGCAGGATGAAGGAGTGTTGATCTCAGAAATCCCAGATATTACAAATCGGGATGGACGTGCCACTGATGAGGAGAAGTTGGCCTCCACCACCTGCACACAGAAACCAGCCGGGCTGGAGAAGAAAGCTGAGCCAGAAGAGGACCTGGAGTACTTTGAGTGCTCAAATGTCCCTGTGCCTGCAGGGAAGCACAGGCCAGAGGCAGGTGAGGAAATCCTGGCTGCCTTCAGCTCTGGGACTGTGCTGTGGCTGCAGCACGGAGCCTCTGCAGCCTCTGGTGAGGAGCTGGTGCTGTTGAGGCAGCTCTGCCTCATCAGAGTTTATTTACACTGACAGGGCTGAAGGCTGCTGCAGGTTCTAATGGAACCGGCCATTGCTTTCCTGCACTATTTCCAGTATGGAAAATGATGGTCCAGGCTGTGTTTATTCAGACTTTGGGTACAGAGCATTCTCCTCACAATGCTGCAGTGGGATGTGGCTCAGGCACGAGGTTCCCTCCCCTGGTGCCCCCTGCCAGCAGTGCTCAGAGCTGAGCCATTCTCCACCCTGGGCTGCAGGCTCCCTGCTCAGAGCCTGGAGCAGAGCTGCCAGGACTTGGTGTCCCAGCACAGGGGCTGAGGTTGATGGAGATTTCAATAATGCCTCCAGAGACCCCAATTATTGCTCCTGGTGGAGTTCTGCTGTCAGTTCCCCACGTAATTAGCCTCTCTGACCAAGCCATTACAAAATAATTAAAAGCCAGGCAACATGGCATTTAATCAATAGCCAGGTCCTAGGTGCAAGCAGGAGCGATCACCCCGGGGGGGTTGCAGCCCTCCCCTCTGCAGGGACCATTAATCATTTCTCTGATGGCTGTGCTGGGCTGCCAGCTCCATGGAGAATGGTCCTTTGTCCTCAGGGGAGGAGAATCCCACAGTCAGGGGAGAGGCTGGGAGGGTTCATTTAGTGCTGCTGGTCTCACAGGCAGGTGCAGGGGCTCGGGGCTCTCTGCAGCTTTGGGTGGGAGCTGGGGGTGCAGCTGCAGGCAAATGGGGGGCAAATGGGAAACCTGCAGTCACCAGAGTTCCATTACCTCCTTCCTCTCCAAGCTGAGCTCTCTGAATGCACTGTTCTCTGCCTGCTTAGCACAGCAACCATGCCTGCAGTTGTGTGAGTGCAGCCCAAAAATCACCTCTCATGTTGTGTGAGGCAGCAGGGTGTCCCTCAGGTCAGGGTGTCCCTCCTGCAGGTCGGGGTGTCCCTCCTGCAGGTCGGGGTGTCCCTCAGGTCGGGGTGTCCCACAGGTCGGGGTGTCCCACACCTTGCAGATGGGGTCGGGTGGTTTTTATCCCCTCTCTGCTGCTCAGAGCAGCAGGGGCCATGTGGCAGGGCCTCTGGAGGGCGTTGGGACTGGCTGGCACGGGCTGCTGTGCTCTTGGGAGTGGTGTGAGCAGCTGCTGTGTTCCAGCACCTGCGGAACGTCCTGGGCATCTTCCTGTGGTCTCGGGCATGGGTGGCAGCCCCGGGGACATGGGCGCAGGCTGGGCTGCCACCAGAGGGGAGTGTTGGCTCCAGGGTGTGCTGGCAGGCTGGCAGGGTGCTCCCTGTGGCACCTGGGACAGGGTTTGATGGTGAGTGACTTCAGCAGTGCTGGGACTCGATGGTCTTAGAGAGCTTTTCCAGCCAAAATGATTCCATGCAAGGGCAAGAGCTGGGGGCAAAGACGCCTTTGGGAGTGGGAGCTCAGGGGATGGAGAGGCTCAGAGGTGCCCTCTGTGTCTCAGAAAATCCGCATGTGCCCAGGGTGCTGTTTCCAAACCAATAAAAGGTTGTGCTTCATTGTCTTTAGGTTTTGAAAAGGAGATCTGCAAGCAGATGGAAAAGGGAGGGCCTGGCATCTTCCCTGTGAGTGCCTCTCGCTTTTTCCTTTCTGAAATGAGTTTCTTGGGGAGGTAAAATTCTTGACAAGCCCACGCAGGGACTTGATAAAAATAGCAGAGATTTCCCAGCAGGCCTGGAGGAGCCTGGCAGAGGCTGATCCCTCCTGGGTGGGCTGTGGTGAGGGAGGGATGCTGGGGACAGCAGGAGCAGCCTGGAGCCAGGGCTGCTCTGGAGAGTGGCTGAAGGACAGGGAGAGGGCAGAGGGGACCATGGGGAGGGGATGAGCTGCTGGGCACGGTTGTGTCTCTTGGGGAGTGTCCAGAGCTGGCTCTGATGGCCCAGTGGCACTGGTGCCTCCTAAAGGGATCCTCTACCCTGCTCTCAGGGAGGAGCTGACAGCAGAGATGGGGAAGAGTGAAACAGCCCTGGCTCTGCAGCCACACTGGCCCTGGCACCCCAGCACTGTCCCTGTGCTGGGCCACCCCTGACTTGCCCCCAGGAGCCCCAAAGCCTCTCTGCTGTGGGGGCACCCCGTGCCAGCTTAGCAGCCCCTGGCCAAAGCTGCTTGTGTTGACAAGCAGATGACAATGGGATTAACAACATCAGCAAAAACAACTTCTCGGAGAGATTTAACTGTGCTGAGCCCCACAAGGACGTGGGGCAAAGTGAACCTTTGGTTTGGTGTCCAGGAGAGCCTGGGCAGGCTCTGGTGCTGTGGGCAGGTGTCACCCCAAAGGTACCTGCAGGTGCTCAGGTGTGCATTTTGGGACATACTGGGGGAGGCCGCCGCCAAACCACACCGGGCTGAACCTCCTCGGTGCTGGGGTGTCCAGCCCCAAACCTGCCCTGGGGGGGCTCCCACCTTGGCTGTGAGAGCCGTGAGGGCTCGGGGAGCTGGAACTGAGCAGCAGCTGAAGCTCTGGGGAGGAGGGGAAGGGAGGGGAGGGGAGAGGAGCTCCAGTGCTCTCATTTCCACAGCGAGGAGCAGGCTGCCTCCTTCCTCCCAGCACTTCTCTATTTATGGGCTGGCAGCGTTCTCAGGGAGATGCTGAGTGGCTGTCGCTTGTCTGGGTGATGGAAGGAGGAAGAGGAGGTGTCAGCACCTGCACCACGGGGCTGAGCCTTGCCCCAGGCTGTGTCTGTGCTGCACAGGAGCTGGGCTTTGGGAAAGGAACAGTGAACAATGGGGACACAGCCACCCCGGTCCTTGTAGACACCCAAAATGGCAACAGGAGGGAACCAGGATCTCTATTCCAGAGCTCTCCTGGACACCTGGAGCGCTAGGGCTGAGTGGGGCTGTCCCTTGGACCCTGCTCTGCTGAGGGGTGAAGTCTGCTTCCCCCACAGCTTCCCTGGGCATTTGGGTGCTCAGCAAGGCCCAGGAAATGTCCCTGCAGCTGCCAGCAGCAATTTGATCAGGTCAGCTGCAGTGTTGTCCTGGTGGAGACAGGCAGCCCAGACCCTGCAGACCACCCACCCCCCTGTGGCTCACAGCCAGCAGGGACCCTCCCGGCTGGGGATATTTTTAACCAGCCATGGGATAAGGGGAGCTGGATGTGAGCACATCTCCCTTTTGGGATATTTGGGATATCCCTGGGACAGCTCATGCCCTATTGCATGCTGCTGGCTCCTGGCAAGGGAAGGCACTGAAACCTCACTCAAGCTCTGCCAGGTGTCAGATACAGGCTCTGGGCTCTGTGTTTGCAGAAAGGGAAATTCAGATGCTGATAGAATAGGGGAGGGCACTCCGAACAGGGGAGGTGGGTGAAAATGAACCCACCCTACATCCCAGCTGGGTAATTCCCCCAGGACAACCCCGGGCTGTGCTCCATGGACAAGTGCCCCAGTGTGAGCAGGAGCGAGAGTCCCCTGGCTGGGATCTGCCTCAGCGAGTCCGAGAAGGCAGCAGTGCTCACACTCATCAGAGAGGAGGTAACAGCCCCATCCCTGTCCCTGCCCCATCCCTGTCCCTGCCCCATCCCTGTCCCCTGGGGCTGTCCCTCACCCCGGGACAGCAGGGGCAGCTCTGCTCTGCCTGGGACGAGGATCTGATCCCCTTAGTGGGACAGAGAGGGGAAACCCCTCATAGCACATCCCAAGGGTCCCTTGTGTGTCTGCTGCAACCCAGATAATCACCAAGGAGATCGAGGCCAACGAGTGGAAGAAGAAATACGAGGAGAGCCGGCAGGAGGTGCTGGAGATGAGGTAGGAGCTGTGTCCTGGCAGGGCCGGGCAGGAGGAGGCTGAGCAGGACCCGAGGGGTGGCACAGGGTGGGGTGTCTTGGCAGAGAGGTTCTCCTGGTGCTGGTGCTGTGTCAAACCTTCCTTTGCTGCAGAAATAAAATCCCATGAGCTGTGCCAGCCACAGTGGCAGAGGCCACTGAAGCAGCACTGATGGGTGGTGCAGCCCCAACATCTGGGGTGCAGCCCCAACATCTGGGGTGCAGTGGTCACAGGGCATGGGCCAGCAGGGTCTCCTGTGGGGCAGATTGCTGCCAGTGCAGCTGGAGGTCTGTGTCCCCAAAAGCAGTGGCCTCTCAGCTGTTTTTTCTCTTTTGCTTCCAGGAAAATCGTGGCAGAGTATGAGAAGACCATTGCCCAGATGATAGGTAAGGTTCTGTCACCTGGCCAGGTGTGCAGGGCAGGGAGCTGTGCCACAGCTGTCCCCACTGAGTCACTTTGTCCCTGCTGTTCCAGAGGATGAGCAGAGGACAAACATGACATCTCAGAAGAACCTGCAGCAGCTCACCATGGAAAAGGACCAGGCTCTGGCAGACCTGAACTCGGTGGAGAGGTCCCTGTCAGATCTGTTCAGGAGATATGAAAACCTGAAGGGCGTCCTGGAAGGATTTAAGAAGGTCCTTACCTTGGTTTTCCCTGTCTCCCTGCAGCTCTGGTCCCTGGACACAGGGTTCCTGTGCAGTCTCACTCTGTGTTTCTATGCTGCTGAGCTGGATAAGGGGCTCCAGCATAAAGCAGAAGTTGTTTTTTTGAAAACCTTTTTTCTTACACTCAGAGCAGTTTTCTATCATCAGAGCAATGTCTTTGTGCCCAGTCCCAATGAAGATGGATGTACTTTCTTTTCCAGAATGAAGAAGCTCTGAAGAAATGTGCTCAAGATTATCTAACCCGTGTCAAACAGGAAGAGCAGCGATATCAGGCCCTGAAAGTCCATGCAGAAGAAAAATTAGACAAGTAAGGACATGCATGAGATTGCTGGGTGCTTCAAGACCTTGTAGGGAAGAGGCTTCATTTGCTTTCCAGAGGCTGGAAGGCAGGAGCTGAATGATGTGAAAAGCTGCATTTTACAACCTCAGGCTCCAGTGTCTCGAAGCAAGGCAGAGCAAATCCCTGAATGCATTCTCTGATCTCTGCTTATTTATTTTTTAATGGAGAATGTGAGATTCACGGTCTATTTATGGTCACTTACCAAGTTCCCACCTTCCAGAGTGCTGTGTTTGTGGGACATGAAGGGGCTGTGCAGCCCTGGGGCTCAGCTGATGAGCAGGAGCTCGCCAGCACGTGGAACCTGAGTGAAGTGGGTGGTGAACGGGTTTAGCTTGGCACTGGGAGAGCAGAGTTTTGTGCAGGGGCTCGGAGGAGCTGAATTAACCCAATTTAATCCCATTTCCATACGGGCAAACCCTCTCTGTGGTACCCGGGCCAGCAGAGCCAGGCTCTGCGTGGGCTCAGTCTGTGCCCCTGGTGCCCTGACCCTGCTCCGTGGGCTCAGTCTTTGCCTGGTGCCCTGACCCTGCTCCGTGGGCTCAGTCTGTGCCTGGTGCTCTGACCCTGCTCCATGGGCTCAGGCTGTGCCCCTGGTGCCCTGACCCTGCTCCGTGGGCTCAGTCTGTGCCCGGGTGGCCCTGCCTGTCCTGACCTGGCCCTGTCCATGCCCCAGGGCCAACGAGGAGATCGCCCAGGTGCGCAGCAAGGCCAAGGCGGAGAGCGCGGCGCTGCACGCGGGGCTGCGCAAGGAGCAGATGAAGGTGGAGTCCCTGGAGAGGGCCCTGCAGCAGAAGGTAACGCTCCCACCCCACTGCCAGCCCTGCCTGCAGCTCCTCTTGCTGCCCTCAGCATCCTGCTGATGCCAGACGTGTCCTCCACATTTCTGCTCCAGAAGGTGTTTTGTGGGTTTGGCTTTTGGGGTGTTTTTTTAATTTTGTGTTCTGTGGGGTTGGTTTGGATTTTTTGGGCAGAATGGGCGTTGCTGGTTTCCGTGTGCCTGTTTGCAGAGATGGGGGCTGGGGCTGGGGTGCTGCAGATCCCTGCAGGTCTGCCTGGGCTGAGGAGGGGTGAGCACAGGGCTGCACACGGTGCCTGGGTGCACAGGGAGCTGTTGCAGGGCCAGGTGGAGGAGCTGGCTGCCCTGTCCCACACATGCTTGATGATGGCAGATGGGCCCAGGTGTTATCCCCCACCTGTGCCACCACAGGAGTCCCCAAGATCTGCTTTTCTTCCAGAACCAGGAGATTGAGGAGCTGACCAAGATCTGCGACGAGCTGATAGCGAAACTGGGGAAGTCAGACTGAGCCTCAGCACCCCTCGCCCTGCACTCTGCACTTGGCTGCTTTCCTGTGACCTTGAGCCCCTTGCCTTACCCCGGAGTCCCTGCAGAAAAGCTCTGGTGTCCAGCTTGGTGCCGGACCTGTGGCTCCTGAGCTGCTCCCCTCGCTCTCCCTGTGTGCTTCCCACAGCTCTGGGGCTGGGATCCCTGCAGTCAGCCTGGGGATGCTGTGCTCAGCCTGGCCTGTGTGTCCCTGCCAGGCTCCCAGCGCTGTCCCTCTGCACCAATGCCACCTCTCAGGGGGGAGGTGGCACCCTGGGCTCTGTCCCCTTGCTTGGGCTGGGTCTAGCTGTGTCCCCACCACACTCTGTGTCACTTCTTGTCCTCACCTGCTCAGAGCAGCTCCAGCCACGTGGCAGGTGCTGCCCTGGGACGTGGGTGATGGCAGGGGGGTCCTGCTGGCTCTTGCTCTGGGGAAGGGACCTGGCACTGGGAGGGCTCTGGTTCGTGGCTGAAGCACAGCACAGCATCTCCCTGTCCCTGGCTGTGCCAGCCTCGGGAGGGGAGCTGACATCTCTGCATTCCTGCACTTTATGAGCATTGATGGGCACTTGGGCTCTCTGCTCACTCCTTCCAGTCAGGCACGGTGCTGGCACAAGGCAGGACTTGTTCCCCCAGAGCACGGGCACAGTCACACCAGCTCTGGGTGACCTGGTGTTGGACATGGGCAGGGCCAGGGCTGGTGCTGCTGGTTCCCTGTGCCGTGGTGACATCAGGGCCCCATTTCAGAGGCTGCAGGAGGAAGGAAATGAACCCTGAGCTGCCTCGTGGGTACTGCAGTAGCTGCAATGGTGGAGGATTCTCTGCCTTGAGTGGATAGGTGTGAAAAAGGGAAATAGTTGCAGTTTGGACTGTTCCCTGCCCAGCCTGTTGAACACTTTCACAAACCTTTTTGCTGCTACCTTTTTGTAACAGAATGGAGCTCTTTTCCTTCTATTTTCTAATTCCCTGTGTTGAGCATGCAGAGCAAACACCTGTTTAAGCCAGAGACATACACTTGATTATATTTTATTAGTTATATAATATATAGAGAGTTTATTCTACACTTAAGCAAAGGTGTCAGGAGCCTGCCCCAGCACACAGCTGCCCAGGCTGTTCTCCATGCCCCATTTTATCCCAGTGGCTGACACCACTCAAAGCAGTGCCCCTGGTGCTTCTGCTGGATATTCACCCTTTGCAGAGTTCACAGAAAAGAAAAACCCTTTTTTCCCCTCTGTTTTTAACCCCCTTGAACTCCCCACATGTCCCCTCCTGGGCTGGTGAAAAAGCTTCAATCATTTGATCAACAAGGACAATTTCTGTTCCCCTTTGGGAGTCTGTGCAGGTAAAGCAAACCCCTGAGACCCAGAAATTTCTGGGGCAGTTGGCTTTTTCTCTTGAGGAAGCAGAGTGCAGCATTGCATAACCTCAGAGCTGTTCAGGGCTGGTTTGGGGCACTGGGGCACTGTCCTGCAGCACCCAGGGTGGAGCCCAGGTGTGGGAGGCAGGTGCCAGGTGGGGATTGTGGCAGCTCTCACCTGCTCTGCTCAGGCCGTGTTGCTGCTGTGCCTGGCTCCAGGTGAGAGTCTGAGCTCAGCCTCTCCTTGGAGCTGATGGATAATTGCAGAAGTTCAGATTTCACCACTCGGCACTTCCCCAGAGCCCTGACCTGCTCGCAGCCGTCACTGCTGCCCCTTTCCCCCGTGGGCAAAGCGTGGCTGCACTGTGATAACCAGGGGGCACAGCGCTCCATCCCTCCTGTCCCTGCTCCCAGTGCCACCCTGTCCTGCCGTGTCACCTCCCAGCATCACCTGGATCCTTCTGTGCCACCTCCCCTCACCTGGATCCTGCCGTGTCCCCTCCCCTGTCCTGCCGTGTCCCCTCCCGTCACCGGTGCTGTCGCGTTCCTGTGCCTGCCCGCATGCACCCCAGCCTGGGCAAAGAAGATTCCTACGGAATGATTTCTTAACTATAATATGGTTATAGTTACATATCTATAAATAATGCAGTGGGTATAACAATACAATACACAATGGCTATAGTTATATAAAATAGAAGGTGTGTGTGCACCTCGTGTGCTGGTGATGGTGTCCCTGTGGCTGGCACAGGGAGTGGCAGGTCCCTGTTCTGGTGTCACAGCTGGGTGTGTTTGGTGTCTGTTCTTGCAGTAAACTTTAAATGCCCTTTCTGGCAGCAGCCCCTGCTGCTGTGTTGCTGTTTGCAGTGTGTGTTTGCAGCAGATCTGTCTAACCAAGTGCCACCAGTAACCCCCAACTACTGATCCCTGCCCTGTCCCTCCAGTGTGGCCTCCCCCAGGCAGGAACTTCCTCTGCATTGACTCCTGTCCCTCTGCTTCCAGCCATGTGTGTAACTGCCATCGCCATCGGTTTTATATGTATGATAATTTCCCTTTTATATGTCAGGTAAATATTTGTAAGAGTTATACTCACACAAATGAGATTATTATAATGATTACTAATATATTTTTTCCATGTTTCATTGCCTGAGTAAAACTGTGTTTATCACTCTTGAAAGCTTTCTTGGTGTTTGTGAGGTTGGTGAAGAGTTTTTGGAGAAGTTGGCTTTACCTTCCAGAATGGGCCATGTTTTGCCTTGTCGTTATTAATGTGGTTTACGTGGCAGCTGGTTTCAAACAGGTACAGTTATCATCTCTTCCTGAAATCTGCTTTTCTGAGCTCTGGAATTCAGACCTGGGATGACTTTTCTGGCGCCATCACTCCCACCCCAGTGATGGTGCTGAGCCATGCTGATGAGCTGGGGCAGGCAGGAGAATCCTTGGCACTGAGCCTGACATCCCTCTGTGGCCTTGGGAAAATCCTTCTGGGAGGATGGAGCCCTGGGGGGTGCAGGGATGGTTCTCCTGGGCCCCCAGCCCTGTGGGGGTTTTCAGTTGTTCTCTTGCACTTCTCTTTTGGTGGGTTGGAAAATCTGGAGGGGTTTTCCCTGACTTGGCTGCTACTCGTGACAAGAAAGGGGATTTTCTTTGGATGGAGCAGGTGGGCTTGATCAAGGTCTTTGAAAGGTTCTGTGCCCAGAGATGTTTCCAAAGCAGGGTATGGAGCAGAGCCCAGCCTATCCACCGGCACCAGTTGGTGCCCTGCCCCACTCCCACTGCCCAGCCCATGCCCTTGGGGAGCTGTGTCCTGTCCCCCCAGATAAGATGGCATTATCCCAGCCCCCGATGCAGTCACCCAAGCAGATTAGCTGTAAGACCTTAAGACAAAAGAGCAGCTACCCACCCCTGCACGCTGCACACTGCTGAGAATGCCTGCCCTGCAGACCCTGCTGGCGCTGGCCATCGTCACGTCCCTGGCTGGAGAAGGTAAGTGTCCCTTGGCCCCAGGAGCACAAGGTCGGGTAAATCGCTGTAGCTGCTCCTGTGCCTGCTGCTGCCCCATCCCTGGCACCTCCTGCGGGCTGGTGTGTGCCCACCGTGCCCCTGCCCCGTGCTGCTCCCATCCTTGCAGGAAAATGATGTTTTAGGATGGAGGGCGGCTTTCTTCTTTCGGTACCACCAAGAGAAGCCCCCTGTCGTTGCCCCCTGCCCAGGAGTGCAGTGCCCAGCAGGGACCACAGAGTCTCTGGTCTCCAGCTCCGATGGAGGCTCCTGAGCCCGAACCCTGCAGCTCTCTTGGCTAGGGCTGTGTTTCCCTGCTAAAACTTGCTTCCTCCAAGGCATAATCACAAAAAGCCGATGTAAAAGGCAGGGGGTGGTTGCACTGCTCAGAGCAATGACTTGGAGTAGGGGCAGCTCTGGGCAGTGTCGGGATCTCTGGACCAAGGCACGATGAACACGACTGTGTTTTTAGTTCAAGGCTGTCCCATGCTGTGAGGAACAGCAGAGGAGACACAACACAACCCAGCAGCGGAAGCGGGGTCATGGTGGGTTAATGGAAGGCGCCCATGAAATCCCAGTTTTCCCCATCCCCGAGCTTTCTCTCCCTGAAATGAAGGTGGAAGCTCGGGCAGGAGCCGGTCCCGCTGCCACGAGAGGGCTCCGCTGGTCAGCAAAGCAGGGACGAGTTTCCCTTCCAGAACCAGCGCTGGCTTATCCAGCCCCATCTAAATCAAGGATTCGTCATTTCAGGCAGGAGCAGGATCTTCAAGTTCGGGTTTTTCTGGGGTGTGTGTATGCTCTGAGGGGTCACACAGCTCTTGCAGCACTATCGGCTCTGACGCTCAGGAGAGAGAGGGGCTGGCTGCCCCACCGACCGTCGGGGCACCGGGGGCTCTGGGACGGTGCTTTGCTGTCACTCTCACTCCTCATCCTCACCCAGGTAAAGCACTGAAATGCTACAAATGTGTCGCATCCAACGAGAACGACTGCAACCAGCAGGGATCCCACAGCTGCCCCCAGTACGCGGACGCCTGCTCCACGATCACTGCCCCCAGTGAGTCCCTTGGCCGGGGTGCTGGGGGGCACTGGGGGCTCCAGGGGGAGGGGGAGTACGACCGTAGGGTCTTGGAGGGGACTGGAGGGCGAGGAGGAGCTGGGGACCTGCCGAAGTGGAGCAGGAGGTGGCGTCCTGCGGGCAGGAGAGAAATCCTTTTATTCGCCCCCGCACCGCGCTGTGCTGGTACTGAGGAGCTCCTTCTCCTCTGCCAGTGAACCCCCGGGTCCCTGGAGTCCCTGACCCGGTGTCACTGGTCCCGGCAGTCCCTGACCCCGTGTCGCGTTCCTTTTCCTTGCAGACAGCGTCATTAAGTCCTAAGTCCCGTGTCACTGGTCCCGAGAGTCCCTGACCCGGTGTCACTGGTCCCGGGGGTGCCTGACCCCGTGTCTCGGGTCCCGAGAGTCCCTGACCCGGTGTCACTGGTCCCGGGGGTGCCGACCCCGTGTCTCGGGTCCCGAGAGTCCCTGACCCGGTGTCACTGGTCCCGGGGGTGCCTGATCCCGTGTCACTGGTCCCGAGAGTCCCTGACCCCGTGTCGCGTTCCCTTTCCTTGCAGACAGCGTCATTAAGTCCTGCTCCTACAAGTCCTTCTGTGACCAGGCGCGCCGCGGCGGCTCCGGCGGGGCCACCGTGCGCTGCTGCTTCGGCGACGACTGCAACGGGCCGGCTCGGGGCTACCGGAACGGCGGGGGGGCCAGCCCGCCGCCCCTGGCCCTGCTGGCCACCGCGCTGGCCGGGACGCTGCTGCTGGGCTGGCTCTGAGGGCTCGGCCGGCCCGGGGCAGCTGCTCTAGCCTAGGGACACGGGCGGGGGGGCCTCTCTGCCCGACCCAGCGCCGCCGCTCCAATAAACGCTGCCGCTCCGAACCGCGCTCCGGCCTCTCATTGCCAGGGAAACCAAAACCGCGAGAGAACGAATCGAGCCGGTTTGGCTTCTGGTGCCAAACCCCGCAGGGCTTTGCCAGGCAGAGCCCGGCACCCCAGCGCAGATTCGCCCCCTCCCCGTTGGTCCAACAGAGATGCTTTGGGGGTGCTTTCTGCAACCTGAGGCTCGGCTCAGAGCGGTTTCTGTGGCTGCGAAGACATGGGGGAAGTCTGGGGCTGTAGGTGGTCCCGCAGCTCAAAGCTCTTCTAGAAAGACTCCCAGGAGGGGTCGGTGAGGCTTGGTTTCGTGAGGGAGAATGGTAAAAGTGAGTGAGAACAGAAACGGGAATGATGAAGGGAGTGAAGGATGGCTGGGACCATGAGAATTTGAGAATCTGACCGCAAGAACTATAACGAGCAGCAAACAGCAGCCGTCTGCTGGAGTCTGCCCCAGTCAGCACATGAAGAAAAAGGGAACAGGTACCGAAACTGAAAAGAGCAAGTTTGAACAGAAGAAAAGAAGTAATTCAGCACGTGCTGGTCCAGCCGTGGAACTCGCAGCTGAAGGATGCTGCTGGAACAGAGAGCACTCGGTGAGGGTGGAGGGTGGGAGGGTCAGAAGTCCTGCAGAGCACGGACATGGTCTTGGGGAGGTTAACATGCTTAGAGGGTCGCTGGGCTGCTGCTGCTGGAGGGGAGCATGTGGAAAGCAGAATTCCCTGTCTGCTGTGGATTCTGCTCCTTCCCCGGGCCACACGAAGGGTGTTCTCCCGCGGGGGGCTCTGGCTGCCGGTGGAATCTGCAAAGGTCCTGGGGCAGAGACGTGCCCTGCCCCGGGACTTCCCTCATGCCCCTTCATCTGCTAATGGGGAGTCTCGGTGAGTGCCAGGGGCTGCTTGTACCCCCCCACAGGTTACGGCAGAAAAAACGCATTGAGGAATCCAGGAGCGCTGCCAGGCTCTGGGAATGAGGGAGAGCAGCGCTGTGTGACCCTGCACAGAGCCCAGCGCTGCCCCGGGCTCCGGCGGGTCACAAGGGCTGCGAGACACGCCTCGCTATAAAAACACCCCGTGGAACAGTTTAGTCTTTGCAAAGGCAGGGACGGGGAGAGGGGGAGGCAGCGGTGGCGGGGCAGGGCTCGAGACCTCCAGGGTGCCGGGATCAGGCAGCCAGCAGTGGGAAGGAGCGGATTAACGTGGGACGGAGAGGGCTGGAGGGTGTCCGTGAGCCAGATCCCTCCGTACCCTCGGCAGCAGCAGCGCCAGGATCGGTTTCACCCGCGCCGGGAGAAAGTGCCCCGGGGCCAGATGGAGTTTCGAAGAGAAAGCGGGGCTTCCCCTGGGCGGCACGGGGAGGGCAGCGGGTGTTTCCTGCTCCCAAATCCACCCTGAGCTCACTCCAGCAGCAGCTTTCCCAAGAGATGCTCTTGCAGGAACAGCGACCCGAGCTGGGCGGCTCATTGCCATCCGTGCCAGCCTCAAAAACCCGAGTGGTTTTGTGTCGGCTCTGGGGGGATTCACCGGGAGAGCCCCGAGCCTGGGACTGGGCGGTTCTGGGGGACGCAGAGGACCCGCAACAGGCTGGCACTGGCCCCGCACCGGGCTGCCCCCACCGCCGGCGGCGGCGGCTCAGCCCCCGGCAGGTGCGCGGGACGGACACGGACGGACCGACGGCGATGGGACGGACGGACGGACACCGACCCCCCGCCCCGCGGAGCCGCCCCGCGCCCCGCACTCACATCCGGGGCCGGGTTTGCTAATGACAGACGTAATTAACCCGGAAAGAAGCGACGGCGGAGCCAGGGGCACACCCCCTCCGCCGCCCGCCCGCCCGGCCGTCCGTCTGTCCGTCCGTCTGTCCGTCCGTCCTCCCGCAGCGCTGCCCGGCGTGCGCAGCGCCCGCAGCCCCGGCTCGCCCCGGCCCCCTGCCATGAGCCCAGGGACACCGCGGGGTAAGTGCGGGGACACGGGGACACGCGGGGCCGCCGCAGGCAGCGCTGGCTCTCCAGAGACCCCCGGGCCGGGCCGGGAGCCGTCGCTGTCCCGTCCCCATCCTCCCTTCCCCGCGTCCCCGGGATTGCCGGGCTGCGGCCGTGCCCCACGGCTCCGGGGGCCGGCGGGGAGGCGGCCCCAGCGCTGTCCCCGTGTCCCTGGCGGAGACTCCGGTTCCTGCAGCTGCAGCAGCCGTGCCGGGGCTGGAGCCGAGAGCTCCCGGTGCGAGCGGCTCCTGCCCGACGGCTCCTGCAGAGAAGTGTCGGGAGCGGGGGCAGCGAGGGGGGCTCTGCCCGGAGCCGAGGGGTCCCCGCGGGAGCTCCGGAAATGCTGCAGGCACCATCCTGGCCGAAAGCCTGTGGGGCGTGTGCGGGGATCAGGGCTTGCAGCTATTCTTTGCGTTCTCCGACTCTGTGGCAGATGAAGAGCTGTGTCCAGCCTCCTCCCGACAGGCTGATCGTTTCATTTAGGCGAATATCTGGAATTAGTGGGAGCGAGTAGCTGGGCGCTGCCCGGCCCGTCTGTCTGGTGGCTCGGGACAGATGTGTCAGGGCGAGCTCCGGGAGCTGCTCTGCCCTCGCAGGTGAGAGGAAGTGGAGCTGAGGCTGCAGCGGGCACCGCAGGTCCCAGCCCTCCTGGGATGGTGGGGTCACCGTGAGCCCCGGGCGACACCAGGACAGCTCGGGCGGGCAGGTGACAGAGGAGGAGGAGGAGGAGGAGGAGGATGCGGCGGCTGCCCGCAGGTGCGCTGGGTGCTGTGCAGGGAGGTGCCGGCGATGCCTCCCGGCAGCACAGCCGTGATGCTCCAAACGTCGGGTCTCCCCTCGCCTCGGGTTTTTGTGCTGCAGAGCCTTCCTGGGCTGCTCCTGTGGCTGTGTCCTGCCGGGACAGAGCTGCACAGGCAGGGGCGTCCTGAGGTGCTTCCTGGAAAGTCTGGCTGTGTGGCTGCACACGAGGCCTCTGAGCCACCCGTGGCTGCAGAGGGGACTTGGACCGTGCCCTGCACCTCCTGCCTCTCCCTGGGGAGCACTTCCCTTTCGCTCAGGCAGGCAAGGGGGTGGTTTTGCTATAAATCTTCTTCTGTAGCCCAATTGCTTGCCATGCCATTCACCGAGTCAGGAAAGGGGTATCTTTTTTGGTGGGATATTGTGGCTGAAAAATCTGGCAAGTGAATTGCTTCAGAGGTAGTAAAGAGTCCTGTAAGTCTCTGATATGCTTCACTAGAAAACTGAGCATTTTCTGGCCCTTCTGTATTTCCTGAGCAGGGTTCCTTGCATGTTAGCATGGCTGGAGATGCTAATTTTATAATTTTCTTATGGAAAACTGCAGTTCTTGGTGGGTCCAAAGAGAGACCATTTGTGTCCTGGGGGCAGTGGGATGTGAGGGGACAGGAACCTGGCTGACTTGGTGCAGAGTGTGGGGCAGTCCCAATCTCCTCTGCCCAGAGGCTTGTGCAGCCTGAGGTCAGTGTGCACAGAAGGGCTGAGCTGGTTTGTGGTCTCCAGATGAGCCCGTGGTAAGGAAGGATGGTGGTGGTGGGACACGGAGACTCCCAAGAGGTGTCCATGGGGCTGGGGGCTCGTCCCTGTGCTGCCTCTGGCACATTCTGCTTCTTCCTCAGCCATCTCCTAAGCAGAAATCTCTGGACCTTTGCTGAAAGCAGAAGGAAGGTTTTAAGGGGTTTGGTCTGAACATGTTGGTATGGTTGAAAGTACCTAGGGATTGGCTTTCCGTGTGCTTCCCCACCACAAAAATAACCCCACAAAAAAGCAGTGAGACATGAAGTGCCCTCAGAAACCCTTGTGCCAGGGCAGTGTCATGGTCTAAAACAACCTCTCCCCCTGCAGCAGCATGGTCCCCATGAGCCAAGCCCTGATACCCATCTCTGAAATGTTGGTGATAAACTGAGATCCTGACAGCAGGTTGACTTGTTTTCTGCCTCCTCTACCTTTGCAGCTGCACCCCAGCTCTTGCACAACCCTCGCCTCCCCGGGCCCCACTCCACTGCCGCTCAAAAATAGTATTTCCTCCTTTTCTGCATGAGTTCTTTTATTTGTGTAGCTCTGCTTCTGGCACCTGCGTGATCACCACTCTCCTGCCAGACAAACCACACTGGGTTCACTCACATCCTTTGGGTAACGGCTGTTCTCATCCCTGCCCTGCCCCTGTGCCATGGGGAGAGGCTCTGCCGGGCAGTGGGACGTGTCCTGCCCACCCCAGGGCTGTGTCTGCTCCCCACAGGGCTGGCAGTGGTGTCAGTGCTCCCAGGAGACCTCCTGGCCGGGGGCAGTGCTGGGGAGGGTCCATGCCTGTGGCAGACCTGGGGACACAGCGTGGCCCTGCTGTGATGGGTCGTTGTTTTCCCTGCTGACTCGACATCCTGGCTGCACAGATTTTCTGCTGGAGCTGCAGATTGTTCCCCGTTTCCTGGGAGTGTGCTCAGGCTCTCTCTAGCACGCTGCTTTGGGATTATTTCTCGTCACAGTTCTCAGGGATCCGGTGTCTCATGTCAGATCCTTTGTGGCTACTTTGTGCTGTCTCGTGGGGTTTGGTGGCTCTTTGGGGCTGGCAGTGATGGGTTGGTGAGTTGTCCCTTCCATCTCCCTCTGGAGAGCTCGGCTCTGGCTCAGTGTGCTGGAACTGGAGCACCTGGCTGGGGTGGGCTGGGTGTCTGTGGATGCAGGAGCAGCTCCCTGGGGAGGGACCAGCCCACCCAGCTGTGCCCCCACCCCGCAGGGTGATGCCAGCAGGAGCCCGGCATGCCGTACCTGGACCGGCAGAACCGTATCTGCGGCTTCCTGGACATCGAGGAAAATGAGACCTGTGGCAAGTTCCTGCGGAGGTATTTCATCCTGGACACCCAGGCCAACCACCTGCTGTGGTACATGGACAATCCTCAGGTAGGCACCTGTGCTGTCAGGGAGTCTGTAGGCACATCCCAGCCCCCCTGGAGCAGGACTCCTGCGGGTCTCCCCAGGTCTGCTGGGTCAGAGCATCCCGTGGCTGAGCGTGGCCATGGCCGGGCTCCAGCCCTCCTGTGACCTCTGTGGTCTCCAGGACTGTCCCAAGGAGCACAGCAGGGCTGGTCCCACTGCTGAGGGGTCTGAGCTGAGCCAGGTGCAGGAGAGGGAGGTGGCTGAGCCTGGCAGCTGCTGCCTGACCCCGAGGGCACAAAGCACAGGCTGGATTGCCCCCGCCACCTTCTCCCTGTCATTTACCTCCCACTGCTCGTTCTGTGTGTTGCAGAACCTGGCCATTGGAGCAGGTGCTGTGGGATCTCTGCAGCTGACCTACATCTCGAAGGTAATGCTGGGGTGGGGCAGAGGGAAGGTGAGTGCTCCCGGTTTTCCCCTTGTCCTCGTGGCATTCCCGGGAGAGGCGATAGCTTGTCCTGGGAGCACCCGAGGCCAGGTCCTGGTCCTGCCTGAGCTCCCCCTGGGATGAAGCCTGAGTGGGGCTGTGGGGAGCAGGGAGGGACCCCTCAGCACAAGGATCCCAGTGCTGGGACCACGTTCATCTTCACCCGTGGAGCAGCCCAGGACGGGGTGCAAGGCTGGGTGCAGGAGGAAGAGGAGCTGTGAGGAAGGACACGGCGTGGCCAGGAATGAGTGGAACAGGAGCGTGGTGTCGGTGGGAGCTGGGCACAGGGCTGGCACTCGGCTGCTCTGTGAGCTGTCCCTGTGCTCAGAGGGCAGTGCCCTGAAGGATGAGACCTTCTGCAAACTCACTTGTGTGTCCTGAGGATGTTATCCATTCTCCTTGGGAAGGCAGGAGTAGTGAACAAGCAGCAATTGTTGCAGGGCCAGTGACTGAGGCAGTGGAGCTGGCACCCTGCTCCTCCTGCAAGTGGCCCCTCAGCTGCCCTGGGGACTGGGGGGCTTGTGGCTGCCACAGCAGGCACAGCTCAGCTTTATCCTGGAGCTGGATTTAGCATTGGACAGATCTCTCTGTTCCTGCTGAATCATGATTTATAAATTAAGTGCAGATGAAGCAATGCTGAGAGGCTGAGCCTTCCCCATTTTGGAAAGAGCCTCACAAATTATATAGGTTTTAGTTTAAATGAAAATTGCTGCAGGACAGCATTTGGTCACAAACTGCGGGGTTGGGTTCTGTCAGTGGCTGGAACTACCAACAGTAAATATACCAGAAAAATGGAGGTTTGCTTGAGAAAACATATTTAAAGCATTATGGACTGGCTTTGAAGGAGGAGGACTGTCAGAATAAAAACTCCATGAATGCTGTTTGTGGAGCCTCAAGGAATATTATTCTTATATAAATGATTCCTACTCCTCAGGGAAAAACCACCACTATTTTCCCTCAATTCTCTTAATTGCTGATGAGAGTGACTGTGTTAATCCAGAAGAATGGATGTTTTCAGGTCCTCTGAAAGCTTTCTGTCCTGTGCTGTGCAGCTCAGCCAGTGCCTGAGGGGATGCAGGGGATGGAAGTCCTGGCTCCTTGCTGACCTTGCCCTGGCACCCTCTGCTACATGTGGCCAGTGTTGTTGTGACAGGGGCCAGTTCCCTTCAGCTGCCACAGCTGGGCTTGGCTCAAGCCGTGCTCATGTCTGGGGTCCTGTCTGGGGAGGCAGAGCCCAGGCAGGGAGCAGGGTGGGTGAGTGGGTGGAAACTTCCAGCTCTTGTGCCCACCACTGCCATGTGCTGTTGGCTCTAATTCTTCCCCTGATTTGCTCTGTCACAGGTTAGCATTGCCACCCCCAAGCAGAAGCCTAAAACTCCGTTCTGCTTTGGTGAGTGAGTGGGGTCCTGGTGGGCTCTGTGGGGGGACCCCCTGCCATGGGAAGCTGCAGTGTGGGTGCTGCCCCACGAATCCTTCTGCCAACTCTCCCTGTCCTTCCCTTCCCTGGCAGTTATCAACGCTCTGTCCCAGCGCTACTTCTTGCAAGCCAGTGACCAAAAGGACCTGCAGGACTGGGTGGAGGCACTGAACAGGGCCAGTAAGATCACGGTGGGTCACCTAATGCTCTTCTCACTTGTTCCTTCCACCATCCCCAGGGATCCTTATGCTCGGGGTTCACTTGTGCATCTTCCTTGCCCCTCCCAGCCCAGCTGTGGGGGACAGCAGCTGTGCCCCTGCAAGGTCCTGCTGGAGCCACCCACATCCCCTCCTGCTCCAGGCCCTCCTCCTCCTGTTGCTCCTGGCCCAGCCAGCTCCTCATTGTGGCTGTCAAAGGGTGGCTTTATTGTGCTTCAATAACTTATTTATTCAGTTTTTATTCTTCCTGGAACACCGGCTCTTGTGCTGAGGCCAGCGAATGCCCTGCACTGTGGGCACGGCAGGGCAGGCTGTGCCAGCATCCAGAGGGGCTCATCTGCCATCTCCTGTCTGTGTGTGTGCTCACAGAGCCGTGAGCTGATGCTCACTGACCCAGCACCTCTGCAGCTGCCCCAGGGATGAGCTGTGCTCGCTCCCTGTCCCAGCCGGGGGGGGACACTCAGCTGGCAGTGCCTGCACCGGGGGCTTGGGAGCTCCAGGGAGCTCCTGCCTGGGTGGGGGGTCCCTGAAAGGGCTGGGGGCTTCTGCTGAGCTGCACTGAGCAGTGGGGCCAATGCACAACGCGAGCAGAGTTTTACTGGGGCATGCACTGATGCGTGTTGTTTATGGTGTGTAAACTGAATGTAAGGAAAAATCATGTAAGCAGTTTGATTGGAGCCTATCCATGAGTTTTTTCTTTAAAATCCCTGGGGTGCCATGTTGTAGTCTCTGTGGGAAACTCATCTGCAAGAGCAAACCTAGCTTGTATTTTCTTTCTTCCTCTGCAAATACAGTAATTGTGACAACCTTTGCACTTGCAGCTGCCAGACTCTGCTCTGGCTCGTGCCTTCTCCTTCTGGGTCCAGCTGATTTTGGCCACAGACTTCACCTGCAGAGCTGTGGCCAGAGCTGTGGCCAGAGCCTGCCTGGCTCTGTGTCTGGGTGAACTCTCAGCAGTTTCCTGCCTCTGGGGCAGGGGGATCCTGGCAGAGGGGAGAGCTGGGGTGGCAGCAGAATGAGATTCATCTTCTGCAAGGAGCCCTGGTGATTTCCATGCCCTGATTTTGGCCAGCCCTTCCCGGCTCTGGCTGTGTCCCAGCTGGACCGGCTCATCCAGCCCTTCAGGGAGGAGCTGTCACGGGCTGCCTGGGAAAGCCAGGGCTATGGGATGGGGGTGATGCTGCCACTCTGCCCTGGCTTTAGGGGAACTGAAGCGCAGGGCTGGGAAGGGAAACTTGGGAACTCCCCTTTCTGTCCAGAGCCGGGTGCCAGAGGGAAGGGGAGGATGCCAGTGCTGGATTTGTGCTGCTGCAGCCCAGCCTCTGCCCAGGGGTGTGGGGCCACTCACGGGGGCACGGCCAGCGCTGGGGTCACGGCAGTGGCCGCCTGCTCCACCTCGTTAGCCAGACCTGCTCCTCATTAAGCCTGGCTGTAAGTGGAGCAGGGACAATTAAAGGAGCAAGTGTCCCACAAACTCACTGAGCTGCAGAGGCAAATCACAGGCGCCTGTGCAGGGATGTTTAATCACTGAGCTCCTCTCACCTCTCTCTGGGTGTCTCCTGTCACCCAGGGGGTTCCACACCCTCCCTAACTGGGGTGCTTGGCCAGGGGTTGTTTTTTAAAGGGATGTTGCTGCATCAGACAGAATGGGGTGCCCAGTGCAGGTGTGGGGATGCCCAGCACGGTCACCCTGTGCCCCTCATCCCTTCCCTTCTCCCACAGGTGCCAAAGGGTGGCAGCGTCCCACCGGCCACGGAAATCACGAAGCCTCCGGTGGTGGCCCAGGCCCAGGAGAGGAAGCCCCAGGTGGCCTACAAGACCGAGATTGTTGGGGGGGTGGTGGTCCACACACCCATCTCCATCAACCAGGTGAGCTGGGCTGCACTTTCATTTCTGTGTGCCTGCAAAGCCTTCCCCCTGCAGGCATCAACGGCTGCTTGAGCACCCTGAACAACCCTGCTCTGTCTCACTCTGAAGTGTGATGGGACCAGGGGGTGTGAGGAGGAGGAGGAGGAGGTCATGAACCTGCTTGGCTTCCTGGCCATGGCCATCCACCCACGTGTCCTGGGTGCAAATCCCCTCTTCAGGTACCCGGGGCAGAGGAGAAGCTGTCAGGGACTGCCACCCCCACCACAGCAGGCACAGGACTGTCCCAGGGCTGGTGGCTGGCACTTGCCATGGCCCTGTGCCCCCTTCCCTGGCACGCAGCTGGGTGTGCACGTGGCCATCAGCGTCTCCCACGTTCAGGCACTTGTCCAGCTCCGGGTCTCACTTCAGCTCTTATCAGTGGCAGCACTAAAAATAGAGTAGAGAATTAGAGCATTGCAGCAGTTCCTGCTGGCAGATGCTTTTAACACTTCCCTGGCCACAGGGTCTGGCAGGATGCAGAGGTGTACGGGGGGTTGTGTGGTGCAGAGGGGGTTTTTTGGAGGTGGTGCATCAGCTGCCAGAATATTTCCGTGCTGTTGCTGCCTCCCCCGTGTGAAATGGCCATTCCCCTGCTGCAGCTTCCTGGGCGTGTCCGTGGTTTCCTGGCTGTGCCCCAGCCAGTGCTGCTCCAGGACTGCACTGGGGAGTCCCACGCTCTGGCTGCACCCCAGAGCGAGGAGCATCACCCTGGGCATGGGGCACAGCCGGCAGTGTCCTCACCTCTGGCTCTGGACACCACATCTGTAGTGCCCGGCAGAGCTGGCACAGCTCTGGCTGTGGGTGGCCTCCCCATCGGATGCAGGGGATTACCTTCAGCCCTCAAACTGCTTTTCTGCAGCCCTTCTAATTTCTTGTTTTTAACACATGGCTGCAGGGCAGCAGCCCAGAAAGCTGCACACAATGAGAGAGCATCAGCTCCGGGCTCTGGCTCGTTCCCTGCCCGTGTTCAGCCCTGAGCCCTTGGCTCACACCCTTCACTCGGGGTTTTGTGTCAGGTGGCTTTTCCCTGCAGCAGGGGTGGGGTGTACTGGCTGGGGCAGGGATGGGATGTCCTGGCTGGGGCAGGGGTGGGATGCCCTGGGTGTCCTGACTGGGGCAGGGATGGGATGCCCTGGCTGGGGCAGGGGTGGGGTGTCCTGGCTGGGGCAGGGGTGGGGTGTCCTGGCTGGGGCAGGGGTGGGGTGTACTGGCTGAGGCAGGGATGCCCTGGGTGTCCTGGCTGGGGCAGGGATGGGATGCCCTGGCTGGGGCAGGGATGGGATGTCCTGGCTGGGGCAGGGATGGGATGCCCTGGCTGGGGCAGGGATGGGATGTCCTGGCTGGGGCAGGGGTGGGATGTCCTGGCTGGGGCAGGGGTGGGATGCCCTGGCTGGGGCAGGGATGCCCTGGGTGCTCACGCTGGCTCTGTTCTCTCGGGTGCAGGACGCTGGGGAGGGCAGTGAGGTGGCTGCACACCCTCTGCTGCGGCGCTCGCAGAGCTACATCCCCCCCTCGGCCACCAAGCCCCCCACAGGGCCCCCCGTGCTCAAGAGTGGCTTCTGTGTCAAGCAGGGGAACGTGGTGAGTGCAGGGGAACGTGGGGAGTGAGGGCAGGGGCCGGGGCTGCTGCTGCCCTGCGGGCTGGGGGTGCTCCAGGGGAGCTCTGGATGCAGGACCTGGACAGAAGAGTGTCAGGGCTGAGCACTGAGCAATTTCCTTCTGTTTTCCAGAGGAAGAGCTGGAAGCGGCGGTTCTTCGTCCTGGATGAGTTTTCCATCAGTTACTACAAGTGTGAGCAGGTGAGCAGCTCTCCCAGGACCCCGAGTAGGGCTCTGCCCCGCTGCTGTGCTGGCACAGGGGGCTCTGGGGGAGGCACATCCCAGCCCCGGGGCCAGCCAAGCCCACCACTGCCTCCTCTCCCCTCTGCAGGACAAGGAGCCTCTGCGTTCCATTCTCCTGAAAGATGTTTGCAAGACCCACGAGTGCCTGGTCAAGTCTGGGTAATGCTCCCACTCGTGTTTCCCTGCCCTGGCTGGTTCAGGCCAGGGCTGTCACAGCAGCTTGGGCTGCTCCAGCTGCTCGTGGGAAGTGGATCTCGAGGTGTTTGCCTCAAACTAGCCCATGCTGCTGCAGTGTCTCAGGAACAAGTTATTGCAGCAAGCACTGATAAAATCAAAGTAACCTAAAGACTTGCAATGAAAAATAACCTAAGAAAACAAAGCTCTTCAGCCAAAGTAAAAATATAATGTATTCATGTGTCTCTGAACAGTTTATTCCTAATAAGTAATAGCAAGCTGATATTTAAAAGGAGCTGGGAATGCAGTGGATTATGCTGGGGGAGGGCAGGGGTTTTCTGGCTGATGGTAGAGCTGGAGGGGTTCTGGCTGAAGCTCTCTGGGGATCTGGACTCTTCTCAGAATCCCAGTGAGATCCAAGGCTTGCCTTCAATGTGTTTCCTCCCCAGCACACTCCAGAGATGAGGATAAATACAGGGTTTTTGTTTTTTTTCTGTCCACGATGGCTGCTGGGGTGTGACTTTCTCTTCCTCGCTGTTTCTAGTGACCTCCTGATGCGAGACAACCTCTTTGAAATCATAACAAGCTCCAGGACCTTCTACATCCAGGTGAGCAGCTGAGGCCAGGATCATTTTTGGGGCAGAAGGTTCAGATCTTGAGAAGTGGCTGTTCCCCCCATCCCTTCAGCAGTGAACACGAGCAGATGGGGCTGTAACACCTGAGAGTGAGGGAGAACTGTGGGGGGATTCACTTCTCCCCTGGCATTATTTATGATAGGGGCTGTTTGTGAGAGCAGGAGGCAGAGCTGAACCTTGGGAATGCCAGGAGAGCTGAGCCTCATCGGGGCTGCTGTGTTTGCAGGCAGACAGCCCCGAGGACATGCACAGCTGGATCCGGGCCATCACAGGGGCAGTCCAGGCCCTGAAAACGCGCCCCAGGGTAGGTCACGGGCTTTTCTTTTGTATTTATTGTCAAACAGAGATGATGCCAGCGTACAAGATATTTATTTAGCGGGTTATGTCGCCGTCTCTGTCCCTGCAGGAGATGTCCTTTGTGCGATCCAGCTGCGTGGCCCGGCCCGGGGGCTCCTCGGTGCCGTCGCAGCCGCGGCCGGCGTTGGAGGAGCGGCGAGCGTCGGGCAGGGCGCCCTGCGCGTCCTCCTGGCAGCCCTGGACGCCGGTGCCGCGGGCAGAGGGGCAGCTGGGGGAGCTGCCAGCCCCGCTCGGGGACCCGCTGGCCGTGGCCCGGGAGCGCCAGGGCAGAGCCGTGCCCGGCACCCGCCTGCGGCACCGCTCGGAGCCGCAGCAGCTGCAGGAGAAGCCGTTCTCCTTCGACCTGGACGATGAAAGCATCCGCACCTCGGACGTGTGAGCGGCCCCGCTCGCCTGCCGGGGGTCCCTGTGGCTGGTCTGGGGTGCTCCAGGGGTCCCTTCCCTCCAGCACAGCCCTTCCCTGCGCTGCAGGATCCGCCTGGACCCTCGTGCTGGTGCCCTGCTCTGCAGGGAGCAGGGGTCCCTGGCTGCTCCTGCCCAGCCTTGGCCCCAGTGGCTCCGCGGCTTGGAAAGAGCTCACTGTGCAGGGCAGGAGATGCTGGGGACCTGCATGAGGGGACATCTTCTGCAATTGCATCCTTTCCCCACAGTCCAGGTCTGGAGGAAGTGGGCAGGAGGTCTTGGAGGCATAGGGGGGAGTGTGGCCTTTCTTGTGTTTGTAAAATGTTTCTCTCCCCTTTGATGCTGCTCAGATTCCCCAGGGCAGAGCTGGGAGACACCAGCCTGCAGCTGCCCACACAGGGGACTCACTGCAGCTTCCCCTTACAGTGACTTATTCCCTCCTGCCCACACAAGGGTTTATCAGCGATCTGCTGGCTTTTAATTATGTCTTTTTATATCTGTGGCTCCTATTGAACCCCAGCCTGGGCAGGTGCTCAACCCCTCCCAAGGCTTTTGGTACTTCCTGAGCATGAGCCAGGGCAGGCAGCCAGAGCAGCAGTGGCTCCCAGGTGGGAGCATCCTCAGGTGTGCTGTCGGTTTTGCACTGCACACACCTGGGCACAGGTAGCCGTGCCAAGTGGTGAAGGGCTTTCAGTAAAAAGCAATGAATTCCGAGCACCTGATGGAACTGGGCAGACTTGTCCGGCCAACTCTGCCACGGCCTGCCCGAGATGGAAACCAGCAGGAGTTTCTAGAGCAATGTGAATCGTCATTTCCATAACCAAATGAGCTCCTGTAGGTGTGATAAATAGCGTGTAGAAAACCCAGGTGTTCCCTCGGCACAGAGATTGTCTGATACCTTCACCCCACACGTGTGTGCCATCCCCACGTGCTGAGCCAGACCTCGGCCTCCCTTCCCTGGCCATGGCACATCCTCTGCTCTGCTCAGCCCAGTGTGTTCCCCAGGAGCAGAACATCTGGTTTGTCCCAGCCCTTTTGGGGCCTCCAGCTGTTTGACAGCTGTGCCTCAGCCTGAGCCTTGATTAGCCTGATCGACCTTAATGTGATTCCAGTTGTACCTTCCTGCCTCAGTCCCCTGTGGGACCCGTGGGGTGCTGCAGGGTGGCACAGCAGAGGTACCTTTGTGCAGCTGGGGGAGGCAGCAATGGGGGAACAGGGTCTCAAAGGGGATTGTGTGGAGGTGCTGGAGAACACAGAGACCATGAAAATGAGTGGGAATCGTTGCAAACGGTACAGGACGAGTGTTAATATTATTTAATTGTAGTTATCTAGATCCTGCTGTTGTTCCTTTTTCTGCTCCTTTTTGCTTTATTTGCACTAGAGTTTGAAACTTTCATTTTTTTAGGCTGACTTGCTGTTTGGCTCCTAACACTGTTTCGGAATGTTTTAGTAGTTTGGTAAGCCCATCCATCAGGGTCAGTAACAACGTTCTGATCTCAGTTTTGGAGAGCAGGGAATGCAGAGGGATGATGGTTCTTTTGTGCAAGGCCTTGGAACCACAGACTCCTGAGTATTCCTGATGCTGGATAATTGCACAGTTTCCTCAGGCCTGGGAAGGTAAAGCAGAGGCTTGTTGCGCAATTAAGGTTAATTATCCGGGAGCAGAAACTACCAGTGGCTCCAGCACTATTGCAACATTGCTCCTGCTCGTTCCCACCCTCCTGCATCCCCAGGACAGCACGAAGGCTGGAGGTGAGGTTCAGACCAGTGTGGAGCTCAGCTGGGCTCCAGAGCCGTCCATCACACACGTGGGGTTGGGAGGGAGAGATTTCCTTCCTGCTGGGTGGGTGCAGCCAGACCTTGTTGGAGCTTTGGGGTTCTTTTAGAGCAAACTGGTTTCCCCTCAGCCCTGCATTCAGTCCTGGCTCAGGTGTGGGATGGACACATCCCCTCGAGCTGCTCCCTCCTGAAGTGTGTGCTGTGGGGCTGTGCTGGGGTGCTGTAGGTTTGGGGGTGCCTTGGGGGCAGAGTGGTGGGAGAGACGGGTTTGCTATTCCCACGGGGTTCCAGATGTTTCTGGAAGTGCTGGCTGGGGATTTCAAGTGCTCTTAGGGCTGGGGCCCTCGTGTGGGCAGTGCTCTGTGGCTCCCGGGCTGGGGGCTGCCTGCCTCCCTCCCCTCGCCTGTAAATGCTGCAATGCCCTTTCCCCCTGTGTTTTTAAATAAAGAAGGAAATCCCAATTGCTTTCCCGAGCTGTCCATTTGCACTGTGTACTTTGGGGGACAGAGTGCAGCAGGTGGGGAGGTCCCGGTGGGTGCTCCCCCATGCTCAGGATGCTGCCCTGCACAAGGAGGGGCTCTGGGCTGGGGAACAGTGCAAGGTGAGGCCGGGACATCACAACTCCTTCTGGACCGAGGTCCTGCTGTCAGCTGGCAGTGGGGGGCTGGAGACACAGGAGTTGTTAGTGACAGCACATGGTATTTTTTTTTTTTTTTCTTTCTGGGTCACTGCAGAATTTTTTCCCCTCCATGGACTCCAGCCCTGTTGTTCTGCTGAGGAATGGCATTTTTAGAACAAAGCTGCCCCCCGCCCCCCAGTCGAAGCTGCCAAACTGGGAGTGTGTGTTTGCCGTTTTATCTCAAATGTGACTGGGCATTTGCATACACAGATTTTGTGTCTGGCTCTGGCTGGGACTTGTTGCAGCTTCCTTTTCCCATTTTATTCAGCTTGGCAAGTTTTTAACCTGCAGCTGGTGAGGCTTCCTCTTTCGGGTGTGAGGTTCTTGCACCCTTTGGGTGCTGCAGGTGCCCTGTGCTGGGGCTGGAGCCAGAGGCACAGACAGGAGCTGCCCCTCGGCCGCTCTGGCCCTTTCCCAGCTCCCTGACTGCTCCCAGATGTCAGGTCATCCATGACACCAAGGTAACCAGGGCTCAGGACTCTGGATTAAAGGGATGTTTGGGGGTGGCTCAGGACTAGACCTACTCTACTCTCAGGGCTCTACTACTCCCCAAAGTACGTGGAGTCAGCTTCTTCCAGATTTTATTAATGTTTGTTTGACCCTCTGTGTTTGCAAGCTCTGATTTCTTAAGCTGTCACTATTTGCAGTGGGAAGCCAGAGTATTTTAAACAAGCAAAACATATACTTAACACCTTTGTGTCCAAGGTTGGTACAGTCATTACCAAGAGTAACTGCTGTGCACCCTGAGTGACAGTTCTGTAAGTCCAGGTTGTGCCAGGCAGAGCCTGGGCAGGTGCTGGCAGCGAGCAGAGGCATCCAGGGGCTGCAGCTGGGGCCAGCCCTGCCCCTGCTCAGTACACGGTGCACCAGTTGCTGCCATCACTGGGCATCAGCCCACCGGTGATCAGCAGAATCAGATCCACAAACCACCAGATGCCGAGGCCCCCCAGCGTCAGCAGCTTCCCCACGGCCGTGCCGGTGTGGCCCAGGCAGAACCGATCCACGCCGAAGCAGCCCAGGAAGAAGGAGTAGAGCAGAGTGGTGATGAAGTAGTGTCCGGTGTACCTGCGAGAGAAGACGCGGCGGGGTCAGGGAGTGTGAGCGCTGCCCGCCGGAGCAGCCCCGCTCCCGGGGGCTCGGTGCGGTGGCTGCCGGGGGGACAGGGACTCTCCTACTTGACGCAGGGCCGGCTGCCCCGCAGGAAGCTCCGCGGCTCGGCGCACTCGATGCCGTCCAGCGCCCGGCACTGCACACGCGTGTGATCCACCTCGGCGTGGGCCTGGCCGCCGAACTGCGGCGGGGGCAGCGCTCAGCGCCCGGCGGGGCCGGGGGGCGCCGGCGCTGGAGCCGCCCCCCGCCCCGCCCTCACCTTCACGCAGCCGTGGCCCAGCTCCTGCTGTGCCGTGGCGTTCCCGCCGTGGTCCACCGGCTCCTCGCACTCCACGAACTCATCGGGGCTGCGGGGAAGGAGCGGGCGGTGAGGGCGGCGGGGCGGCCGCGCTCCCCCCCCCGGCCCGGCCCGGCGCTCACAGGTAGGTGCATAGGACGAGCGGCGCCCGCGGATCGCTGTAAGCCCAGGCGGCGGCGGGCGGCCCCGGCGGCAGCTCCCGGGGCTCGGTGTCGTTGGCCGGGAGGCCGCGGCCGTGCAGCAGCAGCAGGTTCCCGAGCAGGAGCGCGGCCTGCCCGCACAGCAGCGCGTACCCCACGGGCGGCGCCATGGCGGCACCGCCGCCCCGCTCAGTCCCGGGCCGCGCCGCCCGCAGCCAATGGGCGCCCGCCGCCGCCTCGGCCCGCAGCCAATGGGCGCCCGCCGCCGCCTCGGCCCGCCGCCCGCAGCCAATGGGCGCCCGCCGCCCCTCAGAGCGGAGGCGGAAAAAGCTGCGGAAGCGGCAGCGGAGGGCGTGGCTGAGGGTGTGGCTGTGGATGAGGATATGATTGGCTGCCGGGGAGGGCTGGCGGCCAATGGGCGAAGGCGCGGGGCGGGTCGCTGGTGCGGCGCGCGAGCCCTTCGGGGTGCGCCGCCCTCCGCGCTGGCCGGGCCCGAGTCCCGGGGCTCGGGGACCCTTCCTGGGCCCGGGGACCCCGCTCAGGCGGTGCCCGCCGCGCTCTCCCGAAGAGCGGACACCCTTAGCACCGGAGAAGGGCTCTCAAGGGTCTGTGTTGCCGGTAACGGGCAGCGGGGCGGCTCAGCGGCCGCACCAGCGGTTGATTCCGTCCGAGCTGGCCGTTGTGTGCCCGGCTCCCAGCAGTGTCACCTCGCCCTGTGGGAATGGGAGGCAGCCTTGGTTCGGGTGCATTTGTGCTCTTTTCCGTAGTAAATTGACTCCACCGAGCTATTCTCCGTGTCTGCCCTTCGTGTCGATTTAAGGGAGAATTGTTCCTGTCTCAGGCATGAAAGGGACAAAATGTCTGTGCTTGGATGTCAGGAAATCTCACTGCAATGGGTTTTCTCACTGTGCTTTACTCTACTTAGAAAGTCCGTGCTGGAGCCAGCGAACAGCCCTAATCCAGTGCTCTGCTCCGAGATCTCATTTGTGGCTTCAGACATTGCAGACCTCCAGGATTTATTTGTTTTACCTGGTTCTTCTTGCAGAGCAGCTCCCACCGTGCCTGCTGACGTGGGTGTCCCGCTGGCCCAGCAGATGTGCAGGGATTAGATTTGACCCGAGCCGTGTGCTCAGAAGCGGCCACAGCTGTCCCAGCGGTGGCGTGTCCGGAGCCTTGAGGTGTGTTTGCAGTTCCTTGTGTCGCGGGGCTGCAGCAGTGGTGCTGAGTGACAGTGGAAGCTAAGGGAGATGGATGTGGCTCTGCTTTGACCCTGGGAATCTCATGCCCCTCAGGCAGGAACCACAGGATGATTCACGTTTGTGCATTATTTGTGCAGTGCAGTTTTTTGGCAGCAAAGGCCAGCAGAGCCGTGGCGGCCGCGGTCCGTGCTGACAACAGCTCCCTTTGCGGGCGATTCCTTCGGGACACCGCCTCCTGGTAACCGGGAGTTTTTAGTCCAAAAAAGCACTGGAAAGGTTGAGGCTCTTTCCGACCTCGTCCGGGCCGTGCCCGGGCGGTGCCGCTGTCCAGGTCCGTGCCCGGTGCCGGTCCATGCTGGTCCTTGTCGTGCCGTGCGGGGCGGGCGGGCCCGGGGCGGGCGGGCGGACGGGCGGCTCCGCCCCGGGGCGGCGCAGCGCAGGCCCCGGCCCGGCTCCATAAGGCCGCGGGGCCGCTGGCCGGACCCAGCGCCCCACCGGAGGGGCGATGTGGGCAGGGGGTGTCATGGCCCGGGCCTGGAGCTGCTTTTGTCGCCTTCTCCTCTTCCTCATCTTCCTCCTGCCGCCGCCGGCCGCGCCCGGGCCGCCCGCGGGTGAGTGCGCGGGGCCGGGCCGGGCCTGCCGCCCGCGCCCCCTCTGCCCCCCGTTCCCTTTCCCGGACAGCGCCGTTCCCCCTTCCCCGTCCCCTCTGGACCATCGGGCCCCCCTTTGTCAGCCCTCCCCGGGGCCGCCCGGGCAGGCTCTGGCAGCCGCTGCCCCTCCCCTGCCCTCGCAGGGTGGCCCTGGGGCAGAGACCCTCCCGTGGCTTGGCCGGAGCGGGGTCGGGCCCGCTGGCCCCGCCTGGGTCCCGGGGGTCACCGGTGCCAGCAGGAGGGGCTGAGGGTGCAGCACCACCTGTGCCCTGCCCGGCGCCGACAGTGCCAGCGGGCTCCCGGCCAGGGGACAGCGCGGGTCCCCGCTCCGCGCCCCGCAGCTCCGGCCGCGGTCCCCGCTCCCGGCTGTGCCCCCGGTCCGGGCACACCTGCCCGAGCCCGCAGGTGTCCCACGAGCCCGGCTCTGTGCCAGGTACGGCCGAGCCCTCGCCGGGAGCCCTGCCAGGCTCAGGAGCAGGACTCAAAGCAAAGCCCCTGGAGGTGCAGGGCTGCCCGGGCAGTGCAGGTGCCCTTGGCCGTCGGGGAGCTCGGGGATGGGGCAGAACTCGCAGGCTGCCGTCCCCAGGGAGGTAGGGCAGCACTCGGTGCCAGCGTTCTGGGTTTTAAGGAGCAGTGCTGTCCTTAGGGAATGTTGATGAATTGAGATGGGTCTGTTCATGGGCTCTTACGGTGCTGATTCAAGGCTGTACATACACGACAGGCAGAAATGTCTCCTCTGTCAGTGTTTGCCCCTTCTGAAGGGACACGTGCCCTGTATAAAACTTTTGTGTTTGTCATTAATGTGTGTTTTTATAGTCAGGTCTTCCCAACTGAGGAATATACAAATTGATACTGGTGCTTCCTGCTGAGGACAGTGCTTGTGTGGTGTGTGCCTCTCCCTGAGGGATGCTGTGCTGGAATCTTTTCCTCTCACTTGCCGTGTCTGCTGGAGGGTGTGTGAGCTGTGTGAGGTGAAGGTCGGCTCTCAGAGGTGGCTGGTGGTGGAGATGGCACAGCAGGTTGGGAACTGTCTGAAATTCTGTATCTCGGAGATGCCAGGTGCTTGTGCTTCCAGGGGGGTCGTTGGTGTTTTGAGAAATAAGATTTTAGTTCCTGCCTGTAGGAAAGAAACACTGGTGCCAGTTCCTGGTGGTGGATGGTAGTGTTCTTCTCTGCCTTTGGAACTCTCTGTCCTTGCTATTAATGCCAAACTTGCCATGAAGTACAGTGAACTTCCCTTGCCTGAGGTATGAGCATGAAGGAGAGGGTGGAAACCTCCAATTTTGGGTTATAATATAAGTGCTTTTGACACATAGGGATGTAAGGCAGAAGTGAAGTGTTTACCAGAAATTATTATTTGAAAATTCCCGAATTACCATAATCACATAGTGATGTGTAGCCTTAAGGGATCTGTGTGTGTGGCTTTTCCTCTCCTGTTTGTGTCCATAGGAGCCTTCAAGATTTGACTGTATGAATTTAAAAAAATTCATGGGCAGCAACTGTTTCGTGCTAATCAATCTCTTTCTTGATACTTGGTGTCACTCACACACTAGGATGTTCCAGCCAGGCTTGGCCACAATTCTTGGAGTGTCTAAATGCTTGGGTTTAAATTTCTGGGGAGATAGGGTGTTTGGGTAAGATAATTTTTTTATTCACAGCACAGATAACAGAACATTGCCTCATCCGTATTGCAACAAATCTGGGACCATCATTCAGCAAAGAGCAGGTTTGTGGTTATTTCCTCCATGTGAAAAGGAAAGAGAGGAAAGATATTTCAGTGTACCTAAAATTGCCTCTTCTTTGCTTTTGGAAAAAGGAAGTTTGAATCATTACTTTAGAGCTTCTGCATGTCTTGATCATTCTTACTTCTCAAGCTAAAATTAAAAAAATGTAAGAATGTGCATTTCACAGTTCCCTTTGGTGGCCAGATGTAAAGCCAGCGATGTCCCCAAAGAGGAGGTTCCCACAGGCTCAGCTGGGAAAGCAGAGCTGACATTCCCAGCTGGTGAGATGGGCAGGAAGGGAGTGGGGTGGGCTCAGCCTGCTCAGCTCCTGGCCCTGGGCTCACGGCTGGAAGGGACTCCCGTGACCACAGGAGGCTTCACCTCGCTGCAGAGGATGGGCTGGCTTTGCCCTGCTGCTCCCTGTGACAAGGTGCAGAGGATGTTGTCACAGCACCAGAGGACACGTGTGGCAGTGCTTTCTGTGGAACAAGGGGAGCTGTTGTCTTGCAGACAAGTTAGGCTTTAGGAAGGGCAGAAGGAATGGGGAGAGTCTAGACAGGAAACACTTACAGCATAGGTCTGGATTTCAGCAAGGAGTGTAAGAATTTTCTAGGAAATGTTTCTGTGGAAGAGCTCCGTAACCTGATCAATGTCCAACATCCCCTGGGAAATACCAAAAGAAGCTTCACGAACTCTCTGGCCAGGTTTAATGTTGTACAAATATTCCAGGTGAGCAATGCATACAGATGAATTCACTTCTCTTGCCATGATAGTTGATTATCTCTTCCTGCCGTCTAAAAGGCCCTGGCACAGTGGGACACCCAGCAGGTGTGAAGACTGAGAGCAGGGGAGGGAGAGATGGAAAGAAAAGGCCCAAGGAGTGGTGCCCACAGAAGAACAGCTGGCCAGATGTTCCCAGGTGTTTTGAAGATGAAGCACCACTGAGGCACTCTTTAGTCTTTGAGGTATGGGAGGAGCTGGAACTGCTGGCTCCACAGAAAACATTCCTACATTTACAAGAAGACTACTTTGTGTTTTGTATAAACCTCTAAACATTCTTAAGTGGACTTGGATAATATTTGCATAGTGAAAGTGAAGGAGGTTTTTGCTTGCAGTAGTCCAAATAGTAAATCCTACTTCAACTGTGACCTTAGTGTAAGAGTCAAGTGCACCAAAAAAAAAAAACCTTTTCCTGGTGTGTCATTGCCTGGAGAAATCCACCAGCAGTGGTTCTGCTGTTTTGAAGGACATATGTAAGTAAGCCAGGTCATGGAAGTTTCTCCTCAGACACTGCTTGGCAAACTCCTGTATGATTCTGAAAATAGGATATGGAGAATGCAGACTGAGCTGGCAGCTGGTACCTCCCAGTCAGGTGTGAGTCAGGCTCCATAAAGGCTGGGATGGGAATCCCAGTGATCTGAGCATGAGAGAAGGATCTGTCATAAATAAGTGGCTTTGAAAGGATGGTGGAGGGTGTTCTGCTGAGGTGGAAGTAATTGTCTATACAGAGGGTGAAAAATGGGGGGCAGAAGCATGCTGGTAGGAAAGGAAATGAGTGTCAGAGTAGGTAAAATGACAAATGAATGAGACATGTGCTGTCTGTTTTGAAGGTGAGATTAACCTGTGGAGAT